CCTCATCTATAAAATGGAGATAATAATTGCACCTAACTCCCAGGGTTGTTGTTAAGTTAAGATGGGGAAGTATTTGTAAATTGCTTGGCCATGTAAATGCTAGCTGTTATTTTCCTGTTGAGTTTAACGTATCACTAACCCAAACTGTTTGTGTATGAATATGAGTGTGTTCGACCTTCCTTTGTCCAGTTCAGATGAAAATGAAGTTCAGGTGATGCCCACTCCCCCAACCCCTTCCTCTATTTTTGTATACTTTTTTCTAGTGCACCACAGTTATGGGAAATAGCAAGTTCCTACCCTCTTCTTCCTCATTTCTTCTCTAGTGAATTCCTTTTTCCTTCCTTTTTTCTTTCTTCCCTTAAAATCATCAAAACAAAACAAAACCACACCCAATCCCTCTGTTTGTCTTCCCTATGTAACCCTAGAGGACAGTGGGCTTTTCAAGGGTTATTTGTTTTTTCTCCCCTTATTAGAATGTAAGTATTTCATCATTATTTAGCCCCTTGTAGTTATTGCATTGAATTTACCTTTCTAGGCTTCTATAGACTCTCATGTTTGCATTTCAAAGTTTCTATTCAACTCTGGTCTTTTGATCAGGAATGCTAGAAAGTCCTCTATTCCATTAAAGATCTGTTTTTCCCTTATGAGTTTCTCTTTGGAGTTTCAGGGTAAATCATTGTTGGTTTTAGCCTTTTGGAATATCTTTTATAATCATGGCTGCCAGGTCTTATTGTTTCTGACAATGTTTCCTCAATAATTCATTTCTTCCTCCTGAATGTTTGCAGTATTTTTTTCTTTGACCTGGAAGCTCTGGATTGAGGCTATGACATTTCTGGGAGTTTTCACTTTGTAATTTCTTCCGGGAGGAGACCAGTAGATTCTTTTTATTTTCACTTTGCCCTCTGACTCTTATAAATATGTCTAGTTTTCACTTATGATTTCTCATTATCCTTGAAAACCGTGACCCAATACTTTTTATTTCATTGTAGTCAGTAAAGGTTTTCAAGAAGTCTGATGATTACTCTTTTATCATAACAAAAATATTTTATTAAATCCAGAAGAATTTCCAGATGGTCCACACAAAAGAGTCACAAACATTTCTTTAAGGAAGATTTCTACACTTGACAGCAGGATCACCATACTAGTGAAGTTTGTGATGTTTAATGTTTGGGCTTTTGTTCAGAGAATCAAGCTTGTCCATCTATTGCCTATAAGGAGTTAGACTTGGTTAGAGAATATTGTCTAAAGTAAAACTTCTTGGTTACTCTACCAATGCAATTAACTTCACCATTAAAGGGGAGATAGAGTCCACAAAACTAGGGGTATGAAGATACAGCCCCATAGTTAACCAACAACTACTTTCATTCATAGATTTTTTTGGGGGGGTGGCTAGGCAATGGGGTTAAATGACTTGCCCAGGGTCACATAGTTAGTGAGTGTCAAATGTCTGAGGCCAGATTTGAACTCAGGTCTTCCTGAATCGAGGGCTAGTGTTCTATCCACTGCTCCATCTAGCTGTCCCATTCATAGATTCTTAAATCATTACATAGGAGATGAATACAGGGAGAGCTGTACTACTGCTTGCAGTTTCACAAAAAACCTGATGAAACTTCTAGTTTTTGCTTCTGTTTCTTTGTTGCAAGGCAATTTGGGTTAAGTGACTTGCCCAGGCTCACACAGCTGGGTAAGTGGCAAAGGTCAGCTTTGAACTCAGGTCCTCCTGATTCCAGGACTGGTGCTTTATCCCTTATGCCACTGAGCTGCCACTTTGCTTATGTTTCAACAGTAAATAGAAACAAGACATAGTTTTGCTAACTTTCATTTAATCAGCAAAGGACCAAAAATGGCCTGGGTTTTTATTCCATAATTTTTCTAATTGGTTGATTATTGTCCTTCGTGCTCAAAGAGGACCAAAATAATATCATTCTGTGATGTCTTTCGACCTTCGAATAAATTGAATTTAAGTAAGGTAGAGTTGCACAAAGTCATCAGCCTTACTCTCTCTTCCACAGCCATCGAAGTCCAGTGGCAAGACAAAAGTCAAGATGACTGGAGATGACTTGGGATGCATCTTGGCATCTTCAGTGTCTAACCAAGCTCTAAGCATTCAACAAAGCCTACTTCAGTTGCCTTCATGGCCATTAGAACAAATTGTTCTCATCCACCCATTCTACCAGGTAGGTCTTCACATGCTTGGGGTAGACACCCCCCTGACTCACCAATGGGTTTGTGGCCCCTTAGTATCTCTCAACCTGGTTTAGCCTGTCTGCCTAAATGGTTTAACTGGGTGTGGCTATTGCATGCTACAGCTTCTTAGAGCCACAGATGAGAGTTGGGTTTATCAGGTGGATACTAACATTGGATGAGCAGCGTGAAAAGGGCTCAGAAGCCCTCACACTAGAAATACTAGTCTTCCCTGAATACCCCTTCACCTCGATGTTTTTAATACTGTGTTCATCAACTGCAGAAAAAAAGAAAGGAAGGAAGAAAGAAAGAAAGAGAAAGAAAGAGGTCTTGGTAGAACAGAATGACACATAGTTAATGTTGAGATTGAATTTAAATATTATTCATGACATATATAGTCTGGTCTAGAGATCAGCAATTTGCCCCCTGTTTTTATACCCTGAGCTAAAAATGGTTTTTACATTTTTAAATACTGTAAATATTTTAAAGTGTAAAGATTTTAAAATGTAAACCATTCTTAGCTCCAGGTCTGTACAAAAACAGGCTTCAGGCCAGGCTGTGATTTGACAATCCCTGTTCATGCTCTGGCTCTTTATATGAAACTTGGGCTTCATTAGTCTTCCACTACTCAGGAGACACAGATGAACAGAAGGAGGTGTTGGACTAACCCAGTATATCTCATTCTGTATTCTGAGTCCTTCACCTTTCTGTTAGGAAGTGAGTAACATGCTTTATCATTCATCCTCTGGAACTGTAGTTGGTCATTGCATTGATCAGAGTTTCTGAGTCTTTCAAAGCTCTTTTTCTTTACAAATTGTATAAATTGTAATTGTAGAAATTGCTTTCCTGGTTCTTTTCACTTCACTCTGAAACAGTTTGTACAAATTTTTCAAGTTTCTATGATGCCTGTCTCCTTTGTCATTACCTATAGAACAATAGTATTCCATTATATACATTTGCCATAAATTGTTTAGATGACTTGTTTCCTTAGTTTCTAGTTCTTTGCTACCACACACAAAAAAAGTTACAGTAAATATTTTTGTACCTAGGGATCCTTTTCATCATTTATCTTTTTTTTGGGGGGGATACAAACCTAATAGTGGTATTGTTGAGTTAGTCAGATGGTTGGTTGTTGTCCTTGGTTCTAGAAGAGGAGCAAAGTGACATTACTATGTTGGACTCAAGGTACAGTGTGTTTGATTGTCACTGATCAGACCAATACAGTCTCTGAAGGCTCTACTACAGGTCAGGCACAAATAGTCCATATGAACATTTCAGATGGAGGTGTCTCTAAATTTGTACATCTCACATTTCTTTTGAACTACTGCAATTCTTCTTTGGTTATAGAGCGCAGCATCTTCTTTGATGCAGGCACACCATGGTGGACAACCCTGTGCCAGTGTCTCCCATGTTTCACAATCAACTCCGAAGTTCTTCAGAAAGACCTTGAGAACGTCCTTGTATTGCCTCTTCTGACCACCATATGAGAGCTTGCCTTGTGTGAGTTCTCCATAAAATAGTCTTTTAGGCAAAAGTACATTTGGCATTTGGACAATGTGGCCAGTCCATCAGAGTTGCACTCTTTGCAGTAGAGTTTGAATGCCTGGCAGTTTAGCTCAAGAAAGGACCTCAGCGTCTGGTATCTTACCCTGCCAGGTGATGTTCAGAATCTTCCTAGGACAATTCCAATGGAAGCGATTCAGTTTTTTGGCATGGCTCTGGGAGACTGTCCAGGTTTCTTAGGCATACAAGTCACTGTTTAGTGACTTTTGGGGTATATTTCCAAATTACTTTCTGGAATGTCTGGACCAATTCACAACACTGCTATATGTGTAGTAATATTAGTTATATGTGCTTATAGATGCTCATGTAGGTATGAAGATCAGAGAAACACAGAAATGTATCACATGGCACAAATGAGATTTTTTTTTAGTGCTTATCCTTGGGTAAAAGTGCTGGTAAATGTTTAACAACCAGCTCTGTGTGGGTGGGGAATATGTTCTTGACATAGTTTTAAAGTTTAATCTTCATTATTGACATTTTCTCCATCACTTTCTTAAGTCTAGATAATCAACATAATGATACATCAAGCCCTGATTTCTAACCTTTGCTGATTTCTGAGGCATAAATGCTCACGCTGAAAATTTAACAATCAGCTCTCTTGAGCCTCTGCAAGCCAGCTCCAGTGTATCATTACCTGGTTCCCTCAGTTTTGTTTTGAACAAACATATTTCTTCTCTTAGGATTTTCTGTTGAAGCTAGTCCCTAGCACAGGAATGAAAAAAAGCTAGAAGACACAAAGTGGGGCATATGGGAAAGAGCATTAGAATGGAGGGATTATGGATAGAGAATGTTGAATAAACTGCCAAATGTGGATGCTTTGTTGGTTAGTTTTATTTAATCAGTTTTCTCTGATGTAGGAGAGGGTTCAGTGATGAGTTGAGCAAATGAGTGTGATTTTTTTAAAAAGACATTAATTAAAAAGAAAGAATAATGGACTTTGGGTCAGAAGACCTGGGATTCAGATTCAAATCTCTTGCATCCAAAAGATTGTAATTTCATTCTTCTTTCTGGGCTGTAGTTTCATATCTATAGAACAAGGGAGTTTAGGACCATCTTTAAGATTCTTTCCAGCTTGTCCAAACCATGAGATAACAACCTAATGTAATGCCCCAGCTGTGATGAGTCTGGGTTTTAGTTGATAAGAAAAGCAGCCAGGCAGGAAATCTAACCTGCTTACACTTCCTCTCTAAGCCCATTCTGGTTTCATAACTCCATCAACCACCCTGTGACACCCTCATCCCTTCCCCTGTGAGAAAGTCCTAGCCACTGGGGGCCCTGAACACAGTCATTTCCTCCTTTTACCTTAAGTTAGCAACTAGCTTTAACAACTGATTCTCTGAGCCCAGAACTAGGGATTCCTGGGTCTCCTCTTCTCCATCCCTGACCCTACTCCACACTGGCCATAGTGCCATGAAGGGTGCCAGCACTTCACTCAGGTTGCCCCTGCTTGGGAGCTTTCTCTGGGGTAAGTTGAGTTTAGAAGAGCAGAACATGTAAGGGCAGAGACTAAGGGGAAAACAGGAGCCTGGGGGGTGTTGGTTGGGGAGGTTTTTTTGGGAATTGAATCATGGAGAAGGAGCAGTCAGAGAGGGAGGAGAAGGCACGGACAGCCTAATTGGGACTCAAGATCCTAGGCAACAAGAAAAAGAGAAAATATTGAGGGAGACTGAGGGCTGAAAGAGAAGCAGGGACAGTCAGAGAAACAGAAACAGAGAAAGAAGATGCAGGAGACAATTGGGTTAGGCATTAGAAATTTCAGTTCAAAATGCTTTTCCTAAGTGGGAACAGGAGGTGCTGAGTGGGAAGGGTGGGAAGAGGTGTCTGAAATTAAGAAGATGTGGGTATATGAGGTTGGGGATGTTTGAGGTGGAGTGAGACAGGATATGCTGGGGCAGCCAGAGCTGATGTTTACTATGGGACAGAGTCTGGGGTAGGTCAAAGAGGCTGGGTGTTTGAGAGACCGGGACAGGCAAGAGCCAATATATGAGAGGTGGGGGGGGGGGGGTCGGGGAGGTACTTGGGGAAATAGAGGCTGGAAATCTTAATGGAAAACCCAGCGGGAGAGTTCAATCTGGAGAGGCGGGAACCCAAATCTTTGGGGAAAATGGGACCTTCTAGAATGGGGAAGTATGAAGCGTTGTGGTCAGTGCTGGTTGCTGGTTGAGGCTGGTTGGCGACTCAGATTTGGGAACTGGGAACCAAAATCCCCTTGTGGAGGAGGGAGAAAAGTACAAAGGAGATGCACTGCTTGTCCCCTTCTTCACCTTCTCTCCTCTCTCCTCTATTATGCAGTTTCTCTTCACTTCCCCCTCTGCTAAGCCAAAAAAGAATAGATAAACATGAAACTGAGGCCTTGGCTTCCTCTTAGTTTTCAACTCTAGGCATTCCCAGCCCTAAATCTGTTCCTGCAGCTACTGGTCTGGGGCAACTGAGGAGCTGGGCCAGGTGGGTTGGGGAGATAGAGAAGGGGATATTTTGAGGCCTCACCAGGCCTTGATTCTCTGTTCCTTCTCTTGCAGCCTTGGCTTCAAGCTATAACCTGGATACCAGACACTCCCAGAGCTTTTCCTTCCAAGATGCAGGGAACCATTTTGGGTATCAGGTCCTGCAAGTTGGAAATGGGTAAGGCCCTAGAGAAAAGGTGTCAGACTTGACTACCAGCAGCAGTAAAACCCTTGCATTATGGGGAACCAGATTAAAATGTAATTGGGAAATGTTTAACAAAAATTAAAAAACATATAATACAACATAGATAATGTTCATTTGTGATTTTCTAAGTCAATATGCTGGCTGGCCCAGGGATTCTTTTCTATTTAGTTTTTGAGGCCACTGCCCTCGAGGCCCTGGCTCTTACTCCCACACCTCCACCTCCCTGGGCATGGATGGTGGATGATGCTTAAGGTAGCGGGAAGGACACTGGCCTGGGAGTCCAGAGACTTGACTTTAGTTATTCTGACATTTACTATATGTGAAAGTTTGTCATAGTTGATGAAGGATGACCTTGGAGTCAGGAAGACCTGGGTTCAAGTTTTGTCTCTGACACACATGCCTGCTGTGTGATCATGAATGAGTTCCTTAACCTCTCAGTGCCCTCAGGCAACTCTCAAGGCTATAAAATACAAATGAGCTGTAGGTAGAGGGTTTTCCACACCAGGAGTTCCTTACATCCACAGATCACAAGTCTGGATAAAATAAGAAAAATTTGGATAATTATCCCTGCCTTTACTCCTTCCTAGGGCTTTTACAAAACTCACATAATGCTATATTGGATATATAACTTTGGAAATTGTAAAGCACCCATTCAAATTCGAGGTACTAAAACACATAGTGGGAAAATGGGAGGGATTATTCACCAGCAAACCCTGGGGGTGGGGAGTGATGCTGAGAGCTCTTTGAGGCAGCATCTGGCATTGCTCAGGGGTCCCAGCCCCCCTCCCCCAAAGGTTGACTCCAATAGGAGTCCCAGTGTTTCCCAAGGTCCAGGAATCTCTGTCTTACAGAAAGTATTTCCCATCAGGGTCGTTGTGGGAGCTCCTGGTGAGGGGAACAATACCGGGAACCTCTATCAGTGCCAGCCGTCCACAGGACATTGTCAGCCAATGGACCTGCAAGGTGAGAGCAGTGATATGTAACAGGAGGCCTGATCAAGGTCAGGGAACTCCTTGTGGCTTCTGAGTTACTTCTGGTATTGATCTTCTTTCTCACCACAGATGCCAATCTCACTTCCAAGTATCTAGGCATGACCTTGGCCACAGATCCCACAGATGGACGCTTCATGGTAAGAGAAATAGAGAATCAATAGGTGAGGAGGAAGGGAAGGCAAATAAGAGGAGGTAAAGGGTAAAATTAAAGAGTCAGATGGTTTGAGACAGACAGAGACAGAGAGAATGTCAATCAATCAAGAAAAGAGTGATCTTGGACCTGGAGTCAGGAGGACCTGAGTTCAAATCTGGCCTCAGACATTTACTGGCTGTGTTACTCTGGGCAAGTCACTTTTTTGCCTCAAAAAAAAAAAAAAGGGTGATCTGACTAACATGGAAATATGTTTTACATGACCGTACATGTATAATCTATTTCAAATTGCTTGCCTTTTTTTTTTTTTTAGGCAATTGGGGTTAAGTGACTTGCCCAGGGTCACATAGCTAGTGTCAAGTGTTTGGTCTGAGGCCGGATTTGAACTTAGGTCCTCCTGACTTCAGAGCCGGTGCTCTATCCACTGCATCACCTAGCTGCCCCTTTGCTTGGGGGGGGGGGTAAGAAAATTTGGAGCCCAAAAACTTTTTTTAAAAGAATGTCAATTGTTTTTACATATAGTTGGGGGAAAATAAAATGTTAAATTAAAAAAAAGAAAAGAGTGATCAACTTGGAATAAAAACACCTGGGTTTATTTAAGTCCTAGGTCTGCCAATTATTAATAATAACTGTAGCCTTAGGCAAGTCATTTCCTTTCTCTGAGCCTCAGTTTCCTCATTTGTAAAACGGGAATAATAATACTCCAACTGCCTACCATACAGGGAGGTTATAAGAAAGGTTCTTTGTGAACTTTAAAAATGTAAATCATTATAATCAATGTTTAGGGCTCAAGGCCCTATGCTCCACTGAATAGAGTAAGATGAGGTACCTGCACTCCAGCTTACAGTCCACCTTTGTGCAGGAGACAAGTAATAGTGTAGAAAATTAAATAATAACTAGATATGATCAGAGAAGAAATCATCATGGGCTTGAGAGGGCTTTAAAGTTTCATGGAGAATGCTTCACTTTCTCAAAGAATGTCCAGGCAAGGACAAAACTTAGAGACCATTAGGTCCAAATCCCTCCCTTTTCAGAGGAGGAAACAGCCCAACAAGGAGTGTGACTTGTCTAGGTCACATAGCAATTACAAACATAGGTAGTATTCCAGTAGGTGGAGAGGAAAGGGGAGATACCATATACGCAAACGTAGAGTGAAAAAGAGGAGTAAAGAGAAGAGGGTAAAAGAAATATGGGCAGGTCACTAATCAGGAAAAAGCAGCCAGCATAGCATATTTGGAAGAACACTGGGCTGGGAATAGATATTCAGTAAGTGGTCTCTAAGGTCCCTTCCAGCTATGTTCTGTGCTCTGGGTTCTAAAGTCCCTTGCAGCTGTGATGTTCTGTGCTCTGGGTTTGAAGGTTCCTTCCACCTCTGACCTTCTACATTCTTTTCTCCCTGTTCCAAAGTCTCTTCTATCCCATAGAGGTTTTCTATCCTAAAGTATCTTCCAATCCTGAAATTCTTGTTTCTTTGTTCTAAAACCCCTTGTTCTATGTTCGAAAGTTCCTTTTAAAATTTTAAAATTAATTTTGTTCTGAATTTAATGCGCAATAAAATGAGCATTTCCGTATACAACAACAAAAAAAGGATTGTACATGAAACTATGAGTTTTTATTGTGTGTAGCTTGTTTTTTCCTAAGTATATATAATCAATTCAGCACATAACTTTCAAAGCTATCCTGCTTGTCTGTGATTCCTTCAGGCTTTCCTACTGTTTTCTTCTCTGAATGTTAAAAAAAAAATGCTTCAGTGACCCTCCCTTCTTTCTCCTTTTGTTTTCTTTCTTTTCCCTTTAGCCTTCACTTTCTATTTTCTGAAGTCTCTTTCTAGTTCTGATATTCTGTGCTCCATAGTCTAAATTTCATGCTAGCTTTCATATTCTCTGTGATATGCTTTAAAGTTTCTTCCAGTTCTCACATTTTATATTATGTCCTCATGTACTTTTCAAGTCTAAGATTCTTTGCTAGCTCTTCTAAAAACCTTCCTCCACTGACAACAACAGTTTTAAGTTCGTAATTTAAAAAAAAAAGTTAAAACAGTAGCAACAGATAGATGCATAGATGGCTACTTGATTAGTGGGCTTCTGACTGTCCTCCACCTTTGGTTTCCCACAGGCTTGTGACCCTGGGCTGGCAAGGGAATGTGATCAGAACTTCTATCTGAGCGGTCTTTGCTATATCTTCCCACCAAATTTGGGCGGCCCTGCACTTCTTGCGTATCCTGGTTATCAGGGTAAGAGGAAACCCAGCCCTGGCAAAGGGGCTGTCACTTTGGGGACTGACAAGACCACAAGTGAGAAATGCAACTTACTAAGCTGGTTTGTCCTATGGCCCAGCAATGACTAAGCCAAAGGGACAGAGACAGGGTCAGGGATGGTGCTGGGATGAAATGATGGGGGTCTCTTCTCCTGATCTCCTTATATCTGGCCCCTCTGCAGATTGTCTAAAAGCAAACGTAGATTTGGTGTTCTTATTTGATGGATCCTACAGCATAACTAATAATGATTTTAAGAAAATCCTGGAATTCATGAAAGATGTGATGAGAAAACTGAGCAATTCTTCGTTCCACGTGCGGAGACTGGAGCTGGGTGATTGGGTCCTGGGAGGGAAGCAAGGGCTGGGAGGGAGGGGGGGCCAAATGTGGAGTGAGTAGGTCAGCCAAGTCTCCTATCTCCATCTCTGTCCAGTTTGCAGCTGTCCAGTTCTCAAGCTCCTCCAAGACTGAATTCTACTTCTCAGACTATATCAAGACAAGAAACCCTGATACTCTGCTAGATAATGTCACACACATGCAAGAGCTCACCAACACCTTTGGCGGCATCAAACATGTTGTGTGAGTTCTTTAATCTTTGTGGCTACAAGGGCTACTTGCACACACATTCTCTCACTTGGTCCTCTAAACAGTAGGTCTAGGACCTATGGCAAACACACATACACACATATATACACGTATACATACATACATGTATATACACATATGTGTATGTATATATGCATATGTATGTATGTATATGTGTATATATACACACGTATATAGAAATGGATGCCCTTTTTTTTTTGTCCTAGTCATTTTCCGACGTGCCATTTCCCCAACCCTCCTGGATGACAAAGGAAAGCAGGCAAAACTGACCCAGACAGCTCCACATCACTCTGTGCCTGCCTCTTTCAGTATCCATTGTTATCTAACCTCACTAATGAATCTGGATCATTGCATTTATCCTGATCCCATTTGTATTCTTCCCCCTCCTCATCCAATTCATCCCAGTCCTCCTGTTTCTCAGGATCGCTCCTACTCATCATTTATTTTATTTTATTTTTCTACTTTATCTACTCATCATTTTAATAGTGTAATAATATATTGCATTGATACGTCACAATTTGTTCAGTCAATTCCCCAGTCAACGGCCCCACTTCATTTCCAGTTTTTGCTCGATATCCCATGGAAAGGAAGTAGGGGAGCTGGATGCGAACCCAGATCTCAAGTTCTTTTCCCTATATCAGGATGCTTTTTCCCTTTACCCATGAGTATGACATAATGAAACAGGAACATTATCCTAGAGGAAGCCCCTTGCCCTCTGTACTGGGGAAGCAAGGGGAGAAGACCCTCACTTCACTTCATTTTTTTAATGAATTTATTTTGAATTATCAACAATCACTTCCATAAGCTTTTGAGTTTTAAATTTTTCTCCTCCTTCCTCCCCACCTCCCTCCCCAAGACGGTGTGCAATCTGATATAGGCTATACATTTACATTCCTATTAAAAGTATTTTCACATTATTCACTTCATTTTTTGACACAGAAAGGATGTGTTTGATGCGAGTCGGGGTGCCCGCCCTGAAGCTGTGCGAGTAATGATCATCATCACAGATGGGGATGCTACAGACAGCGGAGACATCGAGGAAGCCAAACACATCATCCGCTATGTGATTGGGGTAGGGGTCCCCTAGGCTGCCACCCGGGTAGCCCCAGCTCTGCCCCAGATCCAGGACACTTCTCGCTCTTGTTGCTCCGTGGTGGGTTGGAGGGTCAGTGAGGCTCTGAAGCATCAGTCAGGGAGCCTGCTGAGGTGACCTCTTCACTCTCCCACAGATTGGGGGTGGAATTCAAGAACCTGAGAAACTTGATGATTTTGCCTCAAATCCCAAGAAGGATTTTGTGAAGATTCTGGACACTTATGACAAGCTTAAAGGACTGTTTGATGACCTGGAGAAGAAGATCTATAATATTGAAGGTGAGTGGCAGGCACTGTGCTAAGGTTTTATAAATATAATCTCATTTAAATCTCACAATAACCCTGGGAGGTAGGTGATATTACCATCCCTATTTTACAGATGATGAAACTGAGGCAAACAGAGGGTCAGTGACTAGCCCAGGGTCACCCAGCTAGTAAGTGTCTGAGGCTGGATTTGAACTCAGGTTTTTCTGACTCTAGGCCTGGTACTCTACCCGTTATACCAGATAGCTGCAAAGAGAAGAATCTTCCATGAAAATAATCATGCTCTGATTTATTTGTTCTGAAAATTTGAAAAATTTTTAATAACAATTTTATCCAGTATTTTAGCAAACCAACAAATATTTGTTCTGCTCCATTTGAGTGGGATGCGAAAAAAGAACAAGAAACACTTAGTTCTTTCCCTTTAGAAGCTTATAATCTACTTGGAAAGATAATTAATAATAATAATAATAATGATATTAATAACAGCACAGTTGTATAACATTTAGTGATTTACAAAATACTTTGTTCACCACTTTATTACCCTCCTTTTATAGATGAGAAAACTGAGACTCAGAGTCTCTTGCCCAGGGTCACACTGGGCCAGTAGTCTGTGTCAGAGTACTGAGTGTCAGAGACTGAACTCTAAGCCAAATCTTCGGATTTCAAGTCCAATGCTCTTTCCACTATTTATAAAGATGAAAAAATAACACTTCTACATAATTTTGTTATTTAGTCATTTTTCAGTCATGTCTGACTCCCAAACCCTATTTGGGGTTTTCTTGGCAAAGATACTGAAGTGGTTTGCCATTTCTTTCTCCAGCTCATTTGACAGATGAGGAAACTGAGGCAAACAGGGTTAACTTGCCCAGTTAACAGGTTGACTTGCCCAGAGTCACATAGCTAGTAAGTATCTGAGGCCAGATTTGAACTCAGGAAGTTTTCTTGATTCCAGGCCTGGCACTCTATCCACTGTGCCACCTAACTGTCCATAATACTATGTAATAGCCCATTACATATTGAAGACAGCTTACATGTGAATAGTCCTCTTAATATATTGTGTTCTGTTTGCTTTGGCAACACATACTAAAAACTGAACGAGATATCCTTGACATAACCTGATGAGTGATACTACCCACTTACTCTGGATGTTTTTTGTTTGTTGTTGAATTGTTTCAGTCACTCTTTGTGACCCTATTTGGGGTTTTTTTTGGGCAGAGATACTGCAGTGATTTGTCATTTTCTTCTCCAGTTCATTTTAAAGATGAGGAAATTAATGTAAACATGGTAAAGTGACTTGCCCAGGATCACACAGCTAGTAAGTGTCTGAGGCTGAATTTGAATTCAGGAAAATGAGTCTTTCCAATTCTGAGGCCAGTGCTCTATCCACTGCATCACCTAGCTGCCCCAACTACTCTGGATTTTAGGTTTCTCTTAATAGAAGTTACGATTTCATTTTCAAAATTTTTTCTTTCATTCTTTCTTTTTTTCTTTTCTTTTTGGTTAGCACATCACACTATTGCTTCAGATTGAACTTCTGTTCAGTCAGACATTTTTCACTTGAACTAATGAGAAGCAGGAAGTTCTCCCCATTCTCAGCTTTTGGAGTTAGGTTTCTTTTTTTTCAACTAAGTATAGGATTTAACGTTTCTCCTGGTTTAATTTCATATTGTTAGTTTCAGGTAATCATCAGAATCTATTGGTATTTCAGTGAACCATCACCATCTACAGGATCTTGATTCTGTTGTTTATTATTTTCTTAACATTGTATCATTTGCAAACTCAATTAACATGCCCCCTTTTTTTTTTTTTTGCTTTCAACCAAGTTATTTATGAAAATGGTGACTGGAACAGAGCTAAGGACAGATCCCTAGGGCCCTCCATTGGAGACCTCTCTCTAGGTTGACATTAGTCCAATAGTTCACTCTCATTGGAGAATGGATAGAGTGCTAAACCTGGATTTAGAAGATTGGAATTAAAATCATAATTTTGACTCTTGAAGATGTATCTTTTTTTCTGGGTGAGGCAATTGGGATTAAGTGACTTGCTCAGGGTCACACAACTAGTAAGTGTCAATTGTCTGAGGTGGGATTTGAACTCAGGTCCTCCTGACTCCAGGGCTGGTGCTCCATCTACTGCACTACGTAGCTATCCCATAAATGTATCTTGTTTTCACTGAAAGCCCATTAATCACTTTCATTTCTAAATATGCCCCTACTATCTCCCTTCCTAAGCAGGCCATTCTTTGTAACAAAGATTTTAGAAAGAAAGAGGGGGGGAAAAGACAGTTCAAGAACACCAACCAGCACATCAATTGCTTTTTCTCCACCAAGAGTACCCCATTGCTACAAAGAAAAGATGGAAGTGCTTTTTTTCAACTCTTCTTTGGGGACAAGCTTAGGCATTATAATTACATAGCATTTAGTTTATTTTTCTGTTGTTTTCCTTTACATTTCAATCTCATATGCAGAGTGCAATAAAATAAAAGAGAATTGTATATAGAACTATAAATGTCTATAATACATAGCTTATTTTTCTTAAAGATCTGTGTACATGTGTATTATATATACATGTATGTTGGTATATATAAATTTATTCATATATATATTATATACATGTATGCGTATTATATATACAGATATCTATATACATACTTACACACACACACACACACATATCTACCAACAGTGTATTAACATGGCTGCCTTTTCTTACAAGCTATGTCAGTCTGGACAAATCACTTAACTTCTAGGTGCTTCAGTTTCCTCATCTATAAAATGGGGATAATAATGATAATGGGGATAATAATAACCTTTCAGGGTTGTTTGAGGATAGCCTTATGTAGACCATAAATATACATATATTTTATATATATTTTGTAAATAATATAAATTTTTATTTTTTTACATTTTTGTATATATAATATACAAATACATTTATATATATATATATATAAAATACACACACATATAATTCAGCATGTAACTTTCAAAGTTTTCCTATTTACCTATGATTCCTTCTGATTTCCTATTATTCTCTTCCATGTATTTTTTTTTGTTTTGTTTTGTTTTGTTTTGTTATTGGCAAGGCAATCAGGGTTAGATTTGCCCAGGTTCACACAGTTAGTAAGTATCAAATGTCTGAGGTCAGATCCATGTATTTTTTTGGAGTGAGGCAATGGGGTTAAGTGACTTGCCCAGGGTCATACAACTAGTAAGCATCTGCCTGCCATGCACGTTTTTGAAAAATGCTTCAGTAACCCTCCCTTATTTCTTTTTGTTTTCATTCTTTTCCTTTTGACTTTCGCTTTCTATATTCTCAAGTCTCTTCTAGTTCAGATGGTCTGTGTTCCACATTCTAAATTTTGGTCTAGCTTTCACATTCTGTATTATACACTCAATAGTTTTAAGGGGACTATTGATGAATTATGGGAAAGAGGCGCCAATCCCTGTCATTGGCGAATCAGTTGAAAGAACAGGAGATGTTAAGCTTAGAGATGACTCACAGCAGGATTAAAAGCTGTCTTCAATATGTGAAGGTTAAGTGGAAGTGTTATCTTTACATTACTATAGTTACTGTATATAATGTCTTCTTGATTCTGCTAAATACTTTGACTCAGTTGATATGTGTTCCAATGATTCTCTGAATTTTTCATATTAGCTTTTTTTTTTCCTGTGGTATAGTAATATTCTACTTGTACCACCATTTATTTAGCCATTCCCCAGTTAGTGGGCACCTACTTTATTTCCCATTCTCTGCTTCCCACAAATGTGCTACTTATGAATATTTTGTTGTGGCCTTTGTTATGGCCTGTCTTTCTTTCTTTGGCCTCCTTAGGGTATATGCCTAGCATAAGGACCACTAGGAACATGGATATTTTTGTCACTTTTGGAGCATGATTTCAAAATGCTTTCCAGAACAACTGAACCAGTTGGGGCCAAGCTCTACCAATAGTATATTAACATGACTGCCTTTTCTTACAAGCTATGTGAGTCTGGACAAATCATTGAACTTCTAGGTGCTTCAGTTTCCTCATCTATAAAATGGGGATAATAATGCATACCTTACCTACCTTTCAGGGTTGAGGAAAGCACTATGTAGACCATAAAGCATTGTAGAAATATGAGATATTGTTATTATGTTGGCATAGCAAGGACAGAGAAGGGTATAAGTAAAATTTGTCCATAGGTGAGTGTTCAAAATGGTGTGATACTAACGCGCATGTTATAAGGACAGTGTGAGCTCAGTCTGGCTGGAACAAAGGATTCATTCATTCATTCATTCATGCAATAAACATTTATGAATCAAATACTGTGTGCAGAGCACTGTGGGAGGCCCTGGGAGAGATAACAACATTTAGATAAAACATAGTCCCTGCCCTCATGGAGTTCACAAACTAGTAGGGAGATTAAAAAAAAATACAGACAACTATAATATAAAATAATGCATGGTAAGTGTATAAAAGTAGTCAAGAACAAAGTGCTATGTAAGGTCCCAGGGGGGAAACAATTATTGCCAGGAAGTTCCAGGAAGGCTTCCTGGAGAAGGTAGCATTTGAAGGGAGTTTTAAAGGAGAAGTAGGAATCCAAGAGGTAAAGAATGCAAATTAGATAGAAAGAATTGCATAAGGAAAGGAAAAGAGAATGTTCAGGAGTTAGAGAGACCTGGCTTGGTTGGAGCATAGAGTTTCTGGAAGGGAGGAATCTGTTTTGAATTTGTAAAACTAGAGTGGAATCAGGAAGACTCCTCCTCTTGAGTTTAAATCTTGCCTCAGATACTTGCTATGTGACCCTGGGCAAGTCACTTAACTTTACCTCAGTTTCCTCATCTGTCAAATGGGCTGGAGAAGGAAATGGCAAACCACTGTAGTATCTCTGCCAAGAAAACCCCAAGTGGGATTATGAAGAGTCAGACATGACTGAAATGACTAAACAACAATAACAAGGGTGGTGTCAGATGATGGCGGGCCTTGCATTTCAGGCAAAGGAGTTTGAATTTTACTCAGTATAAAACAGGAAACCAGAAGAGACTCATTAGCAGGGAAATGAGATCACCCCATTGATGTGTGAAGGATAGTTCGAAGGGAATGGAGAGTAATAATACTAATCACTAATATTTATAGAGTGCCTACTGTGTGCCAGGCACTTTACAATTATTGTCTCATTTGGTCCTCACAATAACTTTGGAAAATAGGTGCTGTCATTATCCCGAGGCAAACAGAAGTTCAGTGATCACCCAAATCCAGTTCACCATCCAGAGATATGTACTGGGGAGAAAGGTACTGGACTTGTGGGTGCAGGTCTGGCATTCAGAACAGTGATCAGGACTGGAGGCACATAGACTTGGGGGTCAGTATAGAGGTAGTTATTGAAGCTGTCAGAGTGAATAACATAGTTAAGGGAGAGAGTGGAGAGAGAGAAAAGAAGGCCAAGGACAGACCCTTAGGAAACACTCACATTACAGGGTCACGGGGAAGGAGAAAAACGAAGAGTGTTTAGAGAGGTAGGAGGAGAACCAGACTTCTCTGAAGCCAAAAGAGGAAAGAGTGTACAGTGGGAGGAAGCAGATTCTGTGCCCAGAGTCTTACAGCTGATGAAAGGCTGAGGTGGGGTATGAACCCAACGCTTCCTGACTCCCAGTCTGGCCAAGAGACCACACTGGCTCTCAGTGTAGCTTGGAGCATACGTCTTCAATCTCCTCAGTCAAGTTTTTGAGCAGGAGAGGTGGATGATGATTATTTTGTTATTTTATATTTGTTCTTAGACAAAAAGAAGAGCTAGACTATTAGTTCCTTGAGGGGAGGGGCCTATAGTATTTATCTTCTTACCTCTTTTGGGACCACACACGAGGTCCTTCACATAACAGGCAGTTTATCTATCTATCTGTCTGTCTGTCCGTCTATCTGTCTGTCTATCTATCCATCCATCCATCCATCCATCCATCCATCCATCCATCCATCCATCCATCCATCCATCCATCCATCCATCCATCCATCCATCCATCCATCCATCCATCTATCCATCCATCCATCCATCCATCTATCCATCCACCCATCCATCTATCTATCTAGCTGCCTATCTAGCTAGCTGTCTGTCTGCCTATCTATCTTTCTGTTTGTCTGTCTGCCTGCCTGCCTGTCTATTTTTCTAAATGAATGATCTTCAGGGGGCTAAGCTTTGTTATAAGGTGCTTGGAGACATCGCAGTGTAATGCTTATCTGTATGGAGTTCCAAGGTTAGCATTTATTTCTTAGTCCTTAACGAGTTTAATCATTTGGGGACAGGGTGGGTGGGGGAGGGCTTTCCTCTGTCCTGCCCTCCCGGTTTCTTAGTGTCTCTGTGGACTTGGGCAGGTCACTTCCAATCCATGGTTTCAGTTTCTTCATCTGTAAAATGAAAAAATTGACTCTTTCCTCATAGCAGAATGCTATGTCATGGGACAGAATATCATAAACATTCGGTTGATCAACAACTACTTATTAATTGCCTACTATTGCCAGGCACTGTGTTAGATGCTGGGATTGAAAAGATAAAAATGAAACAATCTCTGCTCTCAAGGGGACAATAAATGCATATAAAAGTGTATGCAAAATAAATACAAGGTTTTTTTTTTTTGTTGGGGGGGAGGTGACAGTAGCAGCCAAGGGGACCAGAAAAGGGTTCATGTCAGAGGTAGAGCTTTATTTTTGGAGCAAACATGGAATTCTAAGAGGAATGCATTCCAGACATGGGGTACAGTGGGTATGAAAACACAAAGCAGTGTGTGTGTGTGTGTGTGTGTGTGTGAGACAACAAGGAGGCCAGTGTGGCTGGACCATGAAGGTTGGATAGGGTATAATAAAACTGGAAAAGTAAGTAAGAGATAGACCTCCGGCCTTGGAGTCAGGAGGACCTAAGTTTAAATCTGGTCTTAGACACTTGACACTTACTAGCTGTGTGGTCCTGGACAAGTCACTTAACCCCAATTGCCTAACCAAAATAGACAAAATAAAAAATAAAAAAAAGTAGGTAAGGACCAGGTTGTGAAGGGCTTTAAAATCCCAAATAGAGGAATTTATATTTGATCCTAAAAGGCATAAGAAGGATCTGGACTTTATTGAGTGGGTGGGTGACATGGTCAGATTTTAGGAAAATTGCTTTGGTAGCTGTGAGGAGGAGAGATTGGAAGGCAGAGTCACATGAAACACACAGACCAATTAGGAGACTATTGAAATAGCCCAGGGGATAGGTGTTGGGAGGGGTGGATGAGACATTGCAGAGGTATAAGATTTGACAACAAATTGGATACGTAGGGTGAGTGGGAGTGAGGATGACATCAAGGTGGTAGGGAACCTAAGTAACTGGAACGATGTTGTATCCTCCAGAGTAACAGGAACGTTCAGAAGAAGAGTAGGTTTGGGGAGAAAAATAATGAGTTCTGTTTTGTACATGTTGAATTTAAGATACTTATAGAAGACCCATTTTGAAATGTCCAATGGGCCATGATAGATTCTCAGAAGAGAAGCTAGGGCTGGATGTGGGAGTCATCTGCGTAGAGAGGATAATTAAACTCATGGAAGGTGATGAGTCACCAGACAGGGGTGAGCATAGAAAATGTGTGAGCAGTCAGTCAACAAGCATTTATGAAGAGCCTACTATGTGCCAGCCACTGGGCTAGGCACTGGGGATAAAAAGAAAGGCAAAAAACCAGAAAAGTTCACATTCTAATTATCAGACAAGTTTTCTGTATCAGCAAGTTTTTGCTTAATTAGTTTGTTTTTGTCAGAGGTGGTTCAATCTAGTAGTAGGAGGTGCGAAATGATTAAAATATAAAGACAACAGATATCAATAAAATTAAGTTTTGAAAAACAAAATGAAGGCTGGATTAGATTCAGTGGTTCTCAATCTATGTGCTATTGTAAACGCCCCACTTCATTAAATCACTTAGGATAATAAATAAAACATACCTTCTATAAATTTGAATAAAGTCAATTTATGTAAGTACTATTTTTTAAATACATGTAAGCTAATATGATTCATAAAATATGAATCCATTTAAAAGGCTACTAAAATCATGCCAACTTTTCATCACTGTTTATTTGTTGTTTTTTTTTGTTATTGTGTTTTGTTTTGTTTTTTTGGTGAGGCATTTGGGGTTAAGTGACTTGCCCAGAGTCACACAGATAAGTGAGTGTTATGTGTCTGACATCAGATTTGAACTGAGGTCCTCCTGATTCCAGAGCCAGTGCTCTATCCACTGTGCCACCTAGATGCCCCATCACTGTTTATTTGAAGCAGCTAAATGAATGCTAGATCTAAATCAGGAAGACCAGAGATCAAATCCACCTTTATATATTTACTAGGCGTGTGACCTTAGATAAATCACTTAGCCACTGTCTGTCTCAGTTCCCCCATCTGTAAAATGGGATAATAATAGCAATTACCTCACAGTGTTGTGACGATAAAATAAAATAATATTTGTTGCAAACCTTAAAGCATCAGTCAGTCAAAAAGCATTTATTAAGTGCCTTTTATATGCCAGGCACTGGAGGTACAAAGAAAGGTGAAAGGTAGTCTCTGCTCTCAAATAGCTCACAGTCTAATGGAGGAGACAACATGCAAACACCTATGTACAAATAAGACACATACAGGATACATTGAAGATAATCAATAGAGGGAAGGCACTGGAATTAAGGGGAATCAGGGAAAGCTTCTTGGAGAAGATAGGATTTTAGCTGGCATTTGAAGGAAGCCAGGGAGGCCAGGAGACAGAAACGAGAAGGAAGTGCATTCTCGACATGGGGAACAGCCAGTGAAAATACCCAGAGTCAGGGCAGCTAGGTGGCGAAGTGGATAGAGCACTGGCCCTGAAGTCAGGAGGACCTGAGTTCAAATCCGGCCCCAGACACATAACACTTACTAGCTGTATGACTCTGGGCAAGTCATTTAACCCCAATTGCCTCACCAAAAAGAAAAAAAAAAAAAAGAAAGAAAGAAAAGAAAAAAGAAAATACCCAGAGTCTGGAGATAGAGTATCTTGTTTGAGGAACAGCCAGAGGGCCAGTGTCCCTCTACAAATGTTAGCTATCGTCATTATTATTATTTCTCAATTAATGATCACAGAGTACAACTACTATTATTTGGGGGAGTGGTCCTCAAATTTTTTTTTTATATTAAAAAGAGCTCTTATCCTCAAAAGAGTTAGGAACTACTGAATTAGATAATCTCTGAGGTCCACAGCGGTTAAGAGCTTCGCTCAAGGTGACATAGTAACAGAGCCAAAATTTAAACCCATGTCATCTGACTCAAGATCTACTACTCTTTCCACTGTACCACATACCCTCTATAATTCCTCACAGGCACTAGTAAACAGCAAGATAAGATTGATTTCAAGATGGAGCTGTCATCCAGTGGCATCAGTGCTGACCTCACTAAGGTAGGTTTGAAGGCTGAAGGAAGGTAGCAGGGCAAGGGGGAATGACATAGTCAGCCCTGTACTTTAGGGAAATCACCTTAGCATCTGTGTGGAGGATGAACAGTGCAGTGGAGGGGGAGGTGCATATTTCAGTCTGAGGACCAGAAGTAGCTGAGTGAAACCCAGGGATGCAGTTGTTTCTGAGGAGGGGCACAAAAACAGCTGACCTGCCCCTAGTGTCTTTCCTTCTGCAGGGCCGCAGTGTGGTGGGAGCTGCGGGGGCTCTGGACTGGGCTGGGGGGTTTATTGACCTGGAGCAAGATCTGAAGGATGAAACATTCGTGGGTAATCAACCCATGAACCAGGAGGCAGAGGATGGGTACTTGGGTAAGGTCATCTTGTAATCCTCCCCCTAATTCCCTGATTAAGACAATGTGCTTTGCTCCAGTGACCCTTGTCCCCCTACCCAGCCCTATAGGCTCTTGTTTCCAAGTGTCTGGCTCCCTCTGCAGGCTATACAGTGACCTGGCTACTCTCCCAGGGAAACAGGAAACTATTGGCAGCTGGTGCTCCTCGATATCAGCATGTAGGTCGGGTGCTCCTCTTCCAAGAACCAGACAGCAAGGGAGGAAACTGGAGCCAAGTGCAGAAGCTTGAAGGGCCCCAGGTGAGCAAAGTATGTGGCCACAGGTGGATCTTAAGGTGTGTGTGTGATGGAGAGAGCCAACCTGAGACTGACGGAGTTGGACAAGATGCGGACCTAGGCATCCCCAAGACCCTAGTGAAATGGAAAGAGCTCTCAACTTGGGGGCAGGAACCTAGGTTGGCACAGCTGTTACTAGCCATTTTTGTGCCTGAGGCAAGTGGTACAAAATTTGTACAGGACAAGAAACATGAAACTAGCCTTTCCCTTCACCCCCTTCACTTGTAAGACCGCTTCAGGGAAGGCTGCTTTGTAAGAGGAAGAGGAACTTACCTGTCCTGTGTCCTGGGCAATAAGAAGGGTACGGAGGACCACCCCATGTGGTAATTTCCTCTTTAACTAGTTATTCTTGAAATCTAAGTGCTAAGCATAGTTATTTCTCTACTGCTGGAAGTGCTATTTTTCTCCATTAAATTTCAGTGCCCTGGGACAAAGCTCTGAGTTGTCCTACCTTGGTTACAACTCAGTGGATTGACATCCTGCCTCTGATATCTAGTAGCTGTGTGACCTTGAGCAAGTCACTTAACCTGACACTCAGTTTCCTCATCTGTAAAATGAAAATAAGTAATACTCTAGTACCTATTTCACTGGGTTGTTCTGAGAATTAAATGAAATAATGTGTGTGGAGTATTTTATAAACCTTAAAGTGCTGCCTCAATGTCACCTGTTGTAATTATCTGAGCTTTGACACTTAGCTGTGTAATCTTGGGCAAGTCTCTTAACATGTTTCCTTTTATGTAAAGTGGAGGTCAAGTTATTTATGCTATCCAGCATTATTATTGTGAGGAGAATGTTCTGTGAACTGAAGTGCTATATAAATGCGTGTGGTCATCATTATACCACCTCTTCTTTCTTTCTCTCTCTATAGGTTGGCTCTTACTTTGGTGGGGAGTTGTGTGGGGTTGATGTGGACCAAAATGGGGAGATGGAGCTGCTATTGGTTGGAGCTCCCCTGTTCTATGGGGAGCGGAGAGGAGGCCGTGCTTTTGTCTACCGTAGGAAAGAGGTAGAAAGCCATGGCATTTTGTGTGTGTGTATGTGTGTGTGTGTGTGTGTGTGTGTGTGTGTGTGTGTGTGTGTGCATGCATGCGCATGCAGGGGGTATTGGGGGGCATAAGAGAAGTATGGAAAAGGAGAAAAAAGAGAGTATGTTTCTTCTAAGGATGAGCCCAAGTTTTGGCAACTTCATCCTAACCTGAGTTAACCTTGTTCTTCTCTGCTCTTCTACTGCCCTTACTATAATTATCGATCATTCTGGCCTATGCCTAAGCATGGGGCCTACCAGAAGGGAACACAGCACAAGCTCTAGTCCAGCAGATCAAAGGAGCCCCCCATTAGTACCCCTATTTCACTGGTTTATATTGCAACTTAACTTTTTCAAGAGTGTAAATCTTTTTTTTCTTATCTAGAGTGTAAGATTCTTGAAGATGGGATGCAAAAGAAAAAGAGCACTGAGCTGAGATTCAGGAGACTCAAATTTTATTCTAGGCCCTGCCACTAAATCATTATTTGACTTTTGGCAAAAGGCTTCTCTTCTCTGGGTTTCAGTTTCCTTATCTTGAACATGACTTGGTTTGCTGAGGTCCCTTCCAGATTTAATGCGCTTCCTAGCTGTAAGATTCCAGAAATTATGCATTTGCTATATTTCTTTTGTAATCTCATTGTCTGATAATAGTATCTTGCACATGGTATATGCCCAATAAACACTTTTGGAGGTAATAAATGAGTGAGTGAATGAGTGCATGAATAAATGAACGAATGTGTGAACCTTTCTCCTTGCTCCCAGCTGGCATTCCAGATGATGATGGAGCTTCAAGGGGAAACTGGCTATCCCCTGGGTCGTTTTGGGGCAGCCATCTCTGCTCTGACGGACATTGACGGGGATGATTTGGCAGATGTGGCTGTGGGAGCCCCACTGGAGGGGAGGGGTTCCATCTACATTTACAATGGGAAGCCTGGTGGACTCAGTTCCCGGCCTAGCCAGGTAAGGAGCTTTCCAGGACTAGGGTCAAAGAACCTAAACCTAATCCTTTACCCATAACCTGTCCTTTTCTAGAACTACTGACTCAGTGAGGCCTCTCTCCTTTGTCCTAGCGCATTGAGGGCATCCAGGTATCCCCAGGACTTCAGTACTTTGGACGATCCATCCATGGTGTCAGGGACCTTGGAGGAGACGGACTCGTAGATGTGCTTGTAGGGACTCAGGGCCAAGTGATTATGTTGAGGTGAGATGGCATGGCCTCCTTTGAATTCTATCTAGAAAAGATCCCAACTTTGGGATTTAAGAGACAGGAGGACTGATGCCTAGGTATGATTATTGGGGGAGTGTCTGAGGGAAAAGGAATGAGAGTTCCTCACCCTAAATCAAACATATCTCAGCCTGGGACAACCCTATATACTTTTTTAAAAATGGAAGGTAGAATAAGGGTAGTGATCTACAGAGAAAGAAACATGAAGGCTAAAAGGGATTAGGGGTAGATGGCTCTGGGAAGGGGGAAAGGCCACAGCTGAATATAATCCAAAGCCCCACCTTCCTTTGTGAATTCTCACTTGAATTTACCTCTCCTTTTGACCTCCCTTCACCCAGCTCTCGTCCAGTCTTGGACATAATCTCTTCAATGGACTTCTCCCCAGTGGAAATCCCAGTGCATGAAGTGGAGTGCTCCTACCAGGCCAGTACAAAGAGGTCTGGGGTCAACATCACTGTATGCTTTTGGGTCAAGAACCTCACACCCAAATTCCTAGGTCAGTGCTGTTTAGTCACCTCTCCACCACAAAACAGTTCTCACCACCCACCATCTAGCCCCATTTGATCTCATTGTCTCATAGATTTAGAACTAGAAAGGACCTTATAAATCATCCAGGCTGGGGGTCCCAACCAAGGGTCCATGAACTTAGTATTTTTTTTTTATTTTGATAACTGCATTTCAAGATAATTGGGTTTCCCTTGTAGTCCTATGTGCCTTATTTTAGGCATTTAAAAACACTATTCTAAGAAAGGGTCGGTAGGCTTCACCAGACTGCCAAGGGGGACACAAAAAAGATTAAGAACCCCTGGTCTAGGCCAATCTCTTTATTTTACAGATGAGGAAAATGAGGCACAGAGAAGCTAGGAGACTTCCCCAAACTCATACATTTGTTGCTAGTAGCAGAGCCAGTATTGCAACCCCAATTTGTCTGCTCCAAATCAATTGTTCCTTCCATTATACCATTTTCCTGCTCAGAGTTAAGGCCTCCTTCATCCCAGCCTTCCTAACCTCTTTACTGTGTCCAGGTCCTCTAGTGGCTAATCTCACGTATATCCTACAACTGGATGGACACCGGATGAGAAGTCGGGGTTATTTCCCTGGAGGGAAACAGGAGACTGGAGGGAACATGACTGTCACCACAAAGGAATCCTGCACCCAACACTGGTTTAATTTTCCTGTGAGGAAATTAAGTGGTTTGGCTCTGGGGAGGGGAAATATGGCAGCTAAATGTAATCCTGAAGAGTTACTAACTTGGGGCAGGAGAGGTTCAACAGACAGTTATAATATTGATATACTTGTTCCCTCTAGGAATGCATTGAAGACTACATCTCCCCCATCAATGTCTCCCTGAGATTCTCTCTTTTTGAGGGTGAATACAATGTAAGAAGGAGTTGCAGGGATGGAGCATTGGGTGGGAGTGGAAATTCAATTCTACATAATTTTAGAATTCCCAACTTATTGCTAGAAGGGATCTTAGGAACCTAGAATGTCAAAACTGGAAGGGACCTTATGAACCTAGAAAGTCAGGGCTGGAAGGGACCTTAGGAACCTAGAGAGTCAGGGCTCAAGGGACCTTAGGAACCTAGAGAGTCAGGACTGGAAGGGACCTTAGGAACCTAGAGAGTCAGGGCTGGAAGGGACCTTAGGAACCTAGAGAGTCAGGGCTGGAAGGGACCATAGAGACTATCTAGTCAAACCCTGTCATGTTAAAAATGGGAAAACTGAGGCTTAGAGGTAAAGTAATATGTGGCAAAGGGCACTAGTTTGTGGAACTAGAATTCAAACACTTTCTCCATCACAAAATGAGTCTTGGGTGGGTGTTCAGGATGAAATGAGGGAGAGGTTTCTGGAGGTAGATTAACCAATTAGGAGGCAGTTGCCAGTATTAGAAACCCTCTGGGGTCATGAAGTGATGATATCAGGGGAAACCTCCCCTATGGATTCAATCAAGCATCCAATCAACACGTATTGACTAGACATCTACTAGTGTCTGCTTTTAAGCACCTACTGTCCTCAAAGGGCCTCACTCATTGCCCAGCAGGTAGGTCTCAACCTGTGGCATCCTTAGTCCTTTTTTTTTTTTTTTAACAATTCATAAGCATTTATTTTCTCTTAGTCTCACCTCTCCTACTCCAACTGAAAAAAAAAAAAAAAAGAAAACCCAAACCCTCTTAACAATATGTATAGTCAAGCAAAACAAATTCCCACATCGGCCATGTCCAAAAATGCTTGTCTCGTTTTGCATCCTGAGTCCATCTCTTCTCTTGTTAGGAGTTGAATAGCACACTTCATCCTCTACTTTTAAGGGCGACAGCAGGCTGGAGAGAGAATAGCATTGACTCTGGGAAAGGGGCAAAGACCATAGCCAGATAATACCCAGAGTCTAACCAAGGGGTGGGGAACTTGCAGCCTTCAGGCCACATGTGGCCTTCTAGGTCCTTAGGTGCAGCCTTTCGACTGAATCCAAATTTTACAGAACAGATTTGTTTCTGTTAATTTGTTCCCTACCCCTGGTCTAACCCTTCTCTGAAAATTCTCATCTGAATGACCTGTTCTTCCCCTTCCCCATCCATTCTCCTGTTTTTCCCCATGGATTTTCACCTGGAAAGAAAATACAGCCTACGATGAGGCCTGTCCCACATTCAGAGACCAAGGAGGTAAGAGGAGAGGTGGGAGATGGATAAAGAGAGAAGAAAGGTTTTAGGGGTGGGTGGAAGGAACCTCCATTGGTACTTTTCTCTCTAGATTCCTTTTGAGAAGAATTGTGGGGATGATAAGAAGTGTGAGGCCAATCTGAAGCTGAACTTTCATTCCAAAGGGTTTGTATGTCTGATGCTCTGACCTTTGCCCTTTGACCTCAATATTGATCCTGAGCCTGGCCTCCATCCGTTTTTCCCCAAACCAAGCCCACTTCCCTGATCCTGATTAGAACAGTGCCTAACAAATATCGATTGATTGGTGGGTCCTGGGCCCTGTTCCTTGACCTCTTCCTCAGATCTCCTGAGTTGCACCTGGCCCCCTCATCTAGCCTCTCTGTGGTTTTGGAGCTGAGTAATGTCGGAGAAGATGCTTACCGGGTTCACTTGGTCTTGACTGTTCCCTGGAGCCTCTCCTTCAGAAAAGTGTCCATGCTCCAGGTAAAGAAGAAGGCAGTGAGTGCCTTCTCAAAGTCTTGGCTTTCTTCCCTCAGTCTCTCTCTGCTCCCTTCTCCCAACCTTGTAAGACTGAAAATACAAATAGGGTCAAGAAAGGGGAAGTCTTTAAATCCTTAAGTTCCTGGATAAAAGAAACATTAGAAGTTGGTAAGGGGGAATTTGTAATTCATATAATGTCAGAGCTGGACAGGGCTTTAGAGGTCATCTGGACCAAAGGCCTCACCTTACAGAGAGGGAAACTGAGCACCAGAGTGGGAAGTGACTTGCCCAGGGTCACACAGTAAGTTGGGACTTGGGACACAGGATGGCGTAGAGAAAAGACCAGCTGAATTTGGAGTCAGAAGGACCCAGATTTGAATCCCAGCTCTGCCACTTTCTACCTGTGTGACCTTGGGCAAGTGATTTAACCCCTCTGGGCCTGTTTCATCTGTGAAATGGAAGCATGAAACTAGATGACCCCTAAAGTCCCTTCCAGCTCTGACATTATATGTATCACAAACTGTGATCCTCGATCAGGTCTCTTTCCATTAAGTCCAATTGTCCTGTTTGAGGGATATTCCTAACCTCTTTGAGACTGATGTCTGGGAGGATAACTCTGCCCTTTCGGGATCCAACTGGCACCCCTAAATGACTTCCTTTTTCTCCTCTACTCTCTATAACCTCAGAGTTGGGTCCCTGTCAGCTGTGAGGAAGAAAGTCATGAGGCCAGGCTCTCTGCCTGGACTCTGTATTGCAACGTGAGCTCCCCCATCTTGAAAGGAGGCAGTACGGTGAGATCTTCTCGAATCATTGGCCCCAAAGGTCTTGGATGAGAAGTAGGGGGAAAAGCAGGGATCACTCCCCAAGATCTGGGAAAGGATAAACACATGTTCTTGTAAGATGGAATGGAAGGGGTGGGGTTAAACTGGGGCCTAGGAGGAGGAACATCTGTCCTTTCCCAGGAAGGAAGGAGGAATAAGGGAGATAGGGATGCTTGAGTTCTGGGGAGGCATCTAATCTTTCCTGGTGCCTCCCTGACCCCAGGTATTTGTCCAGATGATGTTTGACACCTTGTTGAACAGCTCCTGGGGGGACTTCCTGGAGATGAACGCAAATGTGAACAGGTGAATGAAATCTAGGCATGACTTCTCTCAAAGCCCCTTCCTTACCTTCAGCTACTCTTCAGGCCTAGGAGCACTGTCCCTCCTTTCCTAGCTCCCTCCCAATATTGCCCCCTTTGCAATTCCTCACAGATTACACATGTTCGCACCATCTGTCCCCCATTACTGCAGTGCTCTCCTGGCTCACCTCTCCCTCCTGGCTCCCCTGGCTTCCTTTAGGACTCAGCTCAAATCCCACCATCTTCAGGATGCTTGACCCTTCCTTCTAAAATTACCATCCATTTTCCCTATTATATTTATCTGATATGTACATTGTTATTTTTCATGCCATTTCCCCTATTAGACTATAAGCTCTCAGAGGGCAGGGATTATTTTTGCCTTTGCTTGTATCCTCAGTCCCTGGCACATAGTAAGGGCTTGATAAATGTTTGTTGGCTGACGAACTGATCTATGTCTTCAGTGACAATGAGGACTCCATACTACTCAAGGACAATTTGGCCACCAAGAGGATCCCCGTCCTGTTCCCTGTCAACGTGATGGTTGAAGAGTATGTTTTCCTCAGCCCCTCCCACCCGGGATCCAGGCATTCTGCCCTCCTGCCTTCCTAAGCCCTCTCCCCTGTAACCTGCCCTCTGAATCCCTGCTCTTCCTCACCTCCCAGGTGGGACTTGCCCCAAATTCCAACCCCAGGACTGACCAACTTATTTCAAGCTATTGCTATTGCCTCTTAACAGACCTTCCTGCTTTAAGACTTTCTCCTACTTTCTAATCCATTTTTCATACCCCTACCAGACTAATGTTCCTTATGAGTAGATCTGGTCATGCCCTTCCTCTTAAAAAAAAAAATAATCCTAAATGGCTCCCTATTATCTGCCAAACAGACAAAGGTCAAACTCCTTGGCTGACATTTAAGGCACTCCATAATCTCTAGATTCTTGAATAAGAACAGTTTACATTTCTAGAGTACTAAATGGTTTAAAGACAGGTTTTTCCTTGACAGCTACCTTGTAAAGGGATATAATTATTATTAACTTTATTATTTATATGAGAATTCTGTGGCTCAGGGAGATGAAGGGATTTGCCTATACTTCTAGTTGGAGCCAGGCTATGAACCTAGATCTAATGATGATAACTGCAGCACCTTTTCCACCACACCATATGTTTCTTAGCCAAGCTTTGAAAATGATGTGGTATGTATAACTTATATCAGATTGTTTGCCATCTTGGGGAGAAGGGAAGGGAGGGCAGGAAAAAAATTGGAACTCAAAATTTCATAAGAAATGAATGTTGAAAACAACCTTTATATGTAATTGGAAAAAATACTATTTACCAAAAAAAAAAAAAAATTATGTGGTAGGCAACAGGGAGCCATTGAAAGTCCTTGAGCAGGGAAGTGTCACGGTGGCTATTAGGAAGCTTTGTGTGGCAGAATCAAAAGATCTGAAGTAAGAGAGCTATGAACTCAGTAGGTATAGCCCAAAGGATAAAGCCAAGATGAGATGAGAGACTCAATTAAGAATCCCTAGTTAACCAGGCTCACCTAGCTTTTTGCTCTATTATGCCTCAGATTCCCTTGGGCTCTGACCTGGAGAATTGTTTGGTCAATTGTTTAAGATACTGAACGAAGAAAATCCAGAGGATGTGATGGTGTTTTTCTCTAAGGAAGAGAGTGCAGACTAGCAAAGGGCACATAAAGCAAAAACACATCCTAACTCCACTCTTAATTAAAACATGAACATTAGAGTTGGAAGGAACCTAAGGATACAGAATTCCAGTGCTGGATGGAACCTTAGAACATGGTACATAAGGTGTCAGAGCTGGAATTTACTCTAAAACTTTCTGGAACATAGAATGCCAGAGCTGGAATGGACACTGGAACACAAAACTTTAGAGTTAGGAGGTACCTTAAACACAAAATATAAGGCCTGGGAGAGGTCTGAGAGACCCACTAGGGCAGTGATGTCAAACTCAAATAGAAATTGGACCACTGAGGATCCCTGTGGGCTACATATTGACTTAATTTTAAAATATAATATTATCTGTGTTTTGTGGTACTTTTATTTATTTGGTTTAATATTTCCCAAGTACATTTTAATCTGGCTCAGACCACACTTGGAAGTGTTATAGGCCAAATGTTTCATAACTCTGCTCCAGGGGGCCATACTGTATCGTCATTTATATTGTATCTTTGGTGAAATTAATCTTTTCCTCATTGCTGCCAAGGGTCCCCATCTCAAATCTCTGGGGTAGGCAAGAGTGGGAACCATTGGAGAATAGATTTAGTGCTGGAAGGGACCGTCTAACCTCCTCATAGCACAGGTTAGAGAACCAAGGCCCAGAGGGGAGAAAGGACTTGCTCCAGACCACTAAGGGGCAGAACCAGCACTTAACCCCGGGTTCTCTCACTCTACAGCTAGCTTGGTATTTCACCATGTTCTTGCTCCCCTGTGAGCTGGTGAGGATATGCAATTTATATGGGTACTAGATTCTGTTTTGTGCAATCTAAGGCAGGATTAGCTTTCTTGTTTTATTTTTTGCTTTTTGGTGAGACAATCGGGGTTAAGTGACTTGCCCCGGATCACATGGCTAGTAAGTGTCAAGTGTCTGAGGTCCGATTTGAACTCAGGTCCTCCTGACTTCAAGGTTACAGCTCTATCCACTGTGCCACCTAGCTGCCCCCTCCCTTTTTAGGAGCCATGCCACATTATTGGCTTATATTAAACTTGTGGTTAACTAAAACACTTAGATCTTTTTCATATTTGTAATAGCCACATGGGTCCAGTGCCTGGCACATAATAAGTACTTAGTAAATACCTATTGATTGATCTCCAAGCCATGTTTTCCCTATTCTTTACTTGTACAATTATTTTTTTAAACCTAAATGCAAGACTTTGCATTTATTCTGTTTTGGAAGGCAGTCATTGAGCTAAAGACGACATCTTTGCTCTTTCTCCCATAGCACCTGCTAGCTCTGTAGGACATGGTACCTAATGTTCCTTTCTCTAGCTGTACATAGCCACTATTTGCATTTTCTCTCTCTTCGCAGCCAGGGGAACTCCACTCTGTACCTCAATTTCACCTCCAAAGGCCCCAAGATTCACGTGATGCAGCACATTTATGAGGTAGGAATCATAGACTCTTAGGCTTAAATCTTAAAATCTTAGAACTGAGAGAGACTTCAGGGATCATTTAGTCCAATTACCTCCCCAGAACTAGGATTCCTGCCATAGCAACCTTGGCCAGTCATCATTGGGCCTAATACTTGAACACACCCAAGCTTAGACTCTGGCTTCGTTATTCAACGGCTCTAATGGTTAGGAAGCTCCTCACAAAAAGCCAAAAATGTGTCCTGCTGGTCCAGGTTCTGACTTCTGGGTCTAAGCAAAACAAATCCCATCACTCTTCCACACAATAGCCCTTCAGGTACTTTTAGAGATCCATCGTGATCCCTCTGCCACCCCTGCTCTCCTTTTCTAGGCTAAACATCCCCACTTACTTGAACCAGTTACGTGGTTTGGTTTCTGAGATGCTTTTCAGGTCTTCTTCTTGACCCCTCCAATTTGTTATAATGTAGCACCCCAAACCTGAGCTAGACACACTTCACTCCATATGTGGTCAAACTAAAACTCAAAGTAGTAGTAAAACTAAAATTATAGTCTGATTGGTGCAAACCAAGGTGGTATTAGTTTTTTAAGGAGCCCCATCATGATGTTGGTTCCTGTTAAATTTGTGGTCAGCTGTATAATTGTCCAGTGTTCAGCACAATGCCTGGCATATGTGTGTGCATGTTCAGTCATTTTTTTTAGTCATGTCTGACTCTTTGTGACCCCATCTAGGGTTTTCTTGGCAAAGATATTGAAGTGGTTTGCCATTTCCTTCTCCAGCTCATTTGATGGATGAGGAAACTGAGGCAAACAGGGTGAAGTGACTTGCCCAGGGTCACACAGCTAGTAAGTGAGGCCAGATTTGAAGTCAGGAAGATGAATCTTCCTGACTCCAGGCTCAGCAGCCTATCCACTGCGCCACCTAGCAGCTCCCTGGCACATAGTAAGGGCTTAATAAATGCTTATTGATTCATTCCCTATCCTTTACTTGTGCAATTGATTTCTAAAACTTATATGCAAGGGCAGCTAGCAGTGGATAGAGGACTGGCCCTGAAGTCAGAAGGACCTGAGTTCAAATCCTGCCTCAGACACTTACTAGCTGTGTGACCCTGGGCAAGTCACTTAACCAAGATTGCCTCCAACATCAATAAACCCTTTTACTCAAAACTCTGCATTTATTGTTGTTGAATTTCATAGTGATTTTCGCTCATTGCTTCAGATCATTTTAAACCCAGTTACCGTGATGATTTAAACACCGTTACTAGCTGTGAGTGACCTTGGGCAAATCATTTCACTTGTATGTGCCTCATTTCCCCCATCTGTAAAACAAAAGGGTTGGACTTGATAACCTATAAGCTCCCTTTCAGATTTAAAGCAATGGTCCAAATCTAAGAAGGCTCATAGACTCTCAGAATTTAGAACTGGAAGAAATCTTAGTGATGGTGATCATGAATTCAACCCACTCATTTTGCTTCCTCCTCAGAGGAGGAAACTGAGGCTCAGAAAAGGAAAGAGATCTGTCCAAGTTCACATAGTAAGTTCAGAGTCCAGGTGTACTGACTCCTAGTTCAGTCCTATTTCTGCTCTACCAGATTGCTTCCTTCTATATCTTTCTCCAAGTCATTGATTCCTAAAAAATGTTGGCCAGCCAACAAGTGACAAGAAAATGCTCCTCCTTTCTTCGGAGAGTTGGGAAGCTCTGGATGTGGAATATTGGGTATAATGTTAGATGTGGTTGATGTGTGGGTTAGTTTTGCAGTATTTCATCTTTTTTTCATTTTTTGTTAGAAGGGATGGCTCTCTGGGGAGGGGAGGAGAGAGGGATATATTTGGAAATTTAGGGGATATAAAAGCAAAAGATTACAATAATTAAAAAAATATATTGGTCAAGATAGGGCTAAAGGCAGAGCCTTATGGTTGTCAATAAAGGCTTAGCTTCAGGTTAACATGGAAGGGTAGGGAATGAGTTGTCTGAGAAGTAGAGGAGACACGAGTAGAACCTTGGCATACAAAGCACAGAACATGAAAGCTCTTGGGAGTCATTGACCTGGAGCATGTGGTGACAATTTGTCCCTTCTCTGTTTCCAGGTGATGGCTCAGATCTTTGTTGATGCCCCACCTACTCTAGAAATCATTGTCTTTGTACCAAAAAGCCAGATGAAGGAATTCTCTACAAAGAACTGGACTGTTCAAGTGGTTGGTATCAAGGGAGCAATGGAAAAACCTGAAGTCTAAGGAAGGATGGGAACTTCTGAGCCTGAGCTGGGAGGATTTGTATGCCTAGGTCTGAGCTTTAGGAGGTAGAGATATCTGGATCTGAGGGATAAAAGGGAGGCCTGGATCTGAGTGGCAACTTCAGTCCTTCAAATGCTCCTATATGCAAGGAACCACATCGTATTCTAGGCTCAATGAGTATGAGCAGGCATTAGAGGTTGGGAGAGGATATAAGATGCTTGGATCTAGCTGAGTGCTCAAGATTTCTAAGTCTGAAAAGGTATTATAGGTGGTTGGGGGTGCTTGGATCTGAACTGGGGAGGCCTGAGTCAGCTAAGGCGGGTACATCAGGGGTGGAGAATCAGTATATGTCGAGACTCAATCAGAGAGGGGGCAGAGACAGCTGGTTTGTATTCAGAGGAACCTGGTGCAATGCCTTTTCTGAGGTAATGGAGAATTCTCCCTTCCTTGCCCCATCCCCCATCATGCCTCTAGGAACCCCCAGTACCCTGCTATCTTGAGAACCCAGATGGATTGTCCCACTCCACTCAGGTAAGCATTTAGGTGCTGGGAGGGTGAGGAGCAAAGGCAGCCCAAACAGACTCATTTGTCAAGTCTATCTCCAACTCCAGCATAGGATTCCAGGATCATAAAATTAACTTAATTCCTTTTTCCCCTTTTCCCAAGGCCCATGTCCTAGGGCCTGTCTTCCGGTGTGTAGTTGATTTCAGGAGAAAGATCTTCATTCAAGTGAGTGGAGTGGTAGAAATCACTGGAGAGATCCAGGTAAGCAGCCTGAGAGGTGGCTGAGACCCCTGGGGTTCGTCTGATGGATGGGGATGGGAATGGGGATGGGCCTGTGGAGTAGGCACTGGGGTTAAGGCTGCCACTAAATTCCCCCTCTCTCAGGCCTCTTCCATGTCTAGCCTGAGCAGCAACATCTCTGTGATCTTCAACTCCAGCAAATACTACCACCTCTATGGCAAGGCATCTGCCCAATCCCAGGTATTATGCAGCATTCAGGAATCATCCGCCTTTCTCCTGGCTCCTAGAAACTCTTCCTAGAAGGTGGAAAAGCCTTCTCTACAAGATCCCGCTCTTCTCCCTTAGGTTGTTACAAAGGTGGACATTGTGTATGAGAAGAATCTTCTCTACCTCTACGTGCTTAGCGGAATTGGTGGCTTGCTTCTCTTTCTGCTGATTTTCGGAGTGCTCTACAAGGTGAGGATCCTTCGGACTTGAGAAGGGCCAGGGTCACTGAGGACTTTCCTCATGGAAGGAGAGATGATAGGAGCCCAAGAATCCATCCAAATGGATTCTTGGGCTAGATGACACAGTGGTACTAAGGCTGGGTGGTGTTGGGGTGGGGCAGGAATGTCTGCCATTGGCTTGCCGTGCAGTGTTGGGTGAACCACTTCTTGCTAGGCCTCCTCTGTAAAAATGAGAGGATTGGACTAGATGAGCTCTAGGGGCTCTTTCTTCTCAGCTGGTCTAGAATTCTGGAAGGTCCCGTGGTTGGCTGAGCCATCCTTGGGATTGTGGCATCATAGATTTAGAGCTGGAAGGGGACTTAGAGGCAATTTAGTCCAGCCTGCTTATTTTTACAGAAAAGGAAACAAAGTCCCATTGAGGTTAAATGACTTGCCCAGGCTCACACAGGTAGTAAGTAGTTAGTCTTGGATTTGAACCCATGTACTTTGACTCAATTTCGGTAACTTTCCATTGTACCGTGTTTCCTTACCTCCCATGGTAAACTGGGTGGGTAAAGGAATTAGCCATGATCCTTGAGCCTAGATGATCTTAGCTTCTTGAGGTGGTGCCAGCTCCTCTTTGGAGCTGATCTAAGAAATTTGTTTCCCTTTTGCTCCAAGGGATTTTACCTTTCACTGCTTTGCTGATCAAGGAAGTTCACTTCAGGCAGTGTTGCCCTCGGCCTTCCTGGCCCCTAAACCAGCTTGGCTTCCTGAGTACTTTGTCCCCACTCAGCATAGTGGGAAGAGAGACTTGGAATCGGGTCGGGCTCTGACATAAGCCATGTCATCTTGGATAAGCCAATCAACTTCAACTTTAATATCCTCATCTTGCACTATCTACCTCACAGGACTTCCGTGAACAAAGGGCTTCATACTTCTTTTGTTGTTCAGTCATTTCAGTCATGCCTGACTCTTCATGACCCCATTTGGGGTTTTCTTGGCAAAGATATTGAAGTGGTTTGCTATTTCCTCCTCCAGCTCATTTGACAGATGAGGAAACTGAGGCAAACAGGGTGAAGTGACTTCCCCAGGGTCACACAGCTAGCAAGTGTCGGAGGCTGGATTTTAACTCATGAAGATGAGTCTTCCTGACTCCAGGCCCATCCACTGTGCCACCTAGCCACCTGCTTTATATTCTACCAATGTGAACTATTATTCTTACTTTTCTAGTTCTCTGGTGCCCCCCTCCAAAAAAAAAAAAAAAGGATATTGTCTCCCAAGGGAGAAAATCACCAGATGATTAGTGATTCTCTTACTTAGGTACTCTGGATCAGGGATGTCAGGGGCTACTAAACCTTTCATAAGGGGATCCCTGCTAGCCAAATATTGACTTAATTTTAAAGTGTAATGTTTTCTATGTTTTATTGCATTTTTATTTATTTTGTTAAGTATTTCCCAATTACATTTCAATCTTGTTCTGGCCTCTGGGGAAGAGTTACTGTTTGACACCTCTACTCTAAATGGAACTCACTGTTGTATTCTGAAATCTCTAGCTCTCTTGGCCAATCAGGAAGCCCCTTGTTAGAGTGTGTGCCTGGGACAAAATCAGGGAGGTGAGTGGGATTCTTTCATAGTTATTCACTCATTAAGATGATATCCTTCATCCTTTTAAAATTGCTGGGAGGAGGAAATAGGGAAAAATAAAACTATCACCTACAATTTAAAATTTCCTGGTCTTCTCAAAATTAGAAGATACAACGTCTTGGGCAGTACATTCAGGCAAGCCTGTCTTTGGCACAAGGTGAATGTCATTGTACTGGGCAGTGTGACTCAGGGAAGCAGCAGGTGGGGGAGATTTAGTTGGCCCCAATTGACTGGTACTATAACCCCCCTGATGCTCACATTCAGTGCATACACTGACTCCTATCCCCAAGACCCAGCACTAGGCCAGTCTTCTGCCAACCACACACCTGTCAAATGGTCCTTTGCTAATTACTTTTCGCCTTTCAATCTGATTGCCTTCAGGGGACACAATTATACAGATTTTCAGAGTTGGAAGGGGCCTTCTAGTCCAACCTCTACCCAACAAGGATTCTTCACCACAACTAACATTCCTCCCAAATAATTCTCCAGTCTCTGTTTAAAGACCTCAGTGAAATAGAGCCCACTACTTCCTGAGGCACCCCATCCCACTTGGGACTAGCTCTCACAATTAGGAAGGTTTCACCAGTAACAAGCTGAAATTTGTCTCTCTGTAACTTCTACCCACTGAATCCTAATTCTGCCCTATGGAGCCAAGCAGACTAAGTCCAGCCCTTGAGGACAGCTCTCACATCCTCCTTGAATCTTCTCTTCTCTAGGCTAAACATCTTCAGTTCTTTTCATCTATCTTCACATGACTTGGACTTAAGAACCTTCATTATCCTCTGAACCTTCTACACCTTATCAATCCTCCCTCTTAAACTGTGGAGTCACTGAGAAACACAGTGTCCAACCAAGCTATTGCTGTTACTGATCCCCTTTGAAATGAAGTATTCCTAGAAGGTGGCAATCTCCTTTCCTAAACTATGCATTTTCTCAATTGATTATATTATTATCCCCAAATGCAATATTGGCTTCCTTTCAGAACTGGACTGTCACTGTAGGACTGCGGCCATGGCACCCCAAATTCAGTCCTTCAAATGCTTTTATCCACATGTTCTGGGATCAGTGAAATTAATACAAAACATTGCTTCGGGCTTTGCATCCTCCCTGACTATAGTAATGGATCCTTGCATTTATTTCATCTTTTACAGTTTACAAAGTGGGTTCATCCTCATTTCATCTTCACTTCATTCTGTAAGGGAGGCAGAACAAGTATAGTCACACCCATTTTGTAGATGAGGATACTGAGGTTCAGAGAAGCAAAGTGACTTGCTCAAATTTACACAGCCATGGGCAGCTAGGTGGTAGTGGATAGAGCTCCAGCCTTGGAGTCAGGAGGACCTGAGTTCAAATCTGGCCTCGGACACTTGACGCTTACTAGCTGTGTGACGCCGGGCAAGTCACTTAACCCCAGTTGCCTCACCAAAAAAAGCAAAACAAAAACAAAAACACCAAACTTACACAGCCAGTAAATAAATAGCAAAGCTAGGATTTGAACACAGATCTCCTGATTCCAAGTTCTGTGATCTTCCTATACTGTACTACTGTATAGCTCCAGTATTAGCCACTGTGGGGAAACTGGAAAGAAACGGCTCTGCTTTTTTTAGGAGGCAAGGTTGTATTTTATACACAAGATAGACAAAAATTCCAGGATCCTGAGCGAGTGATTTGAATGGAGTGTATCAGGGAAGGAGGAGAATTTTAAGTAAAGTTGTGAAGGTAATGAATGAAGTAATGGAAAAGCATGTATTAAATCCTTCTATGTGCAAAGCACTGGGCTGAATGCTGGGCGTGCAAATAGAAAAGGAAGGAGGTTTCTGCTCTGAAGAGGAAACAAGGATTGGCAGAGAAAAGTACTGAGGGCTCACTGGATGTAAGAGAAGGGCATGAGCAGAGGGGTGGGAGGATCAGTGTTGGTGTTGGAGGACATCTCACTCTCTTTTCTCTTCCCACGGGCAGGTTGGCTTCTTCAAAAGGGACCTTAAAGAGAAGATGGAAGCTAATGGTGCAGTCCAGGATGGAATCATGGGTGAAGCCTCCAGTCCCTCTGCTACTGCTGACCCAGGCTGCACAGAGCCCCTTCAACCACAGGAAGGGAAAGGTGAAGGCTGTGCTGACCCAGGCTGCACAGAGCCCCTTCAGTTAGAGGAAGGAGGAGGAGAAGGATGTGCAGACTGAAGCCTGAGCTGGGGGTCCTGGGGCCCCAAAGTCGGAAAAAGCCCAGGGCTGGTAGGAATCCTGAGATCTAGTATTACCATGACCATGAACTTGGTGTGTGGCCTTAGACAAGTCCCTTCCCCTGCCTGAGCTTTAGTTCTCCAATCTGTGGAATGGAGACAAATAATATCTATCCTACTCCGTGGGGAGGTTGTGAAGATCTGAAGTGATAATATACATGAAAGAACTTTGGAACGTCATTCACATTCATTCAACAAACATAGAACCTGTGATATCTAAGGTGCTGAGGGAGATCCCCAAATAAATACCCCTGCCTTCAAGGAGCTCTTGTTATTCATATTATAGTTCATCGCTTTCAGCTGTGAGGACCAGAAAGGGCAGCAGAAAACATACATCTCTTGGGTATGGTGAAAGAACCCTAAAAAACAGGGTTCCTGACCCCCAGATCCTCTTCACCAACCCTATGGTGAATTCGATACACCATAAATCTCTTTCCTGTTCCATCCAATTCCTCTCCCTCTTCACCCTGCCTTCCTACCCTTCTTCAAAACCCCTTTGTCTTCTTGAGGTTTTCTTTTCCTCTGGAGGAAATTGGTTAAAATTCTGTGCCTCTCTAAGTCAAATTTTGTAAAGCATCTTCCCCTTCACCCTGGTCCCTGGACCTTTTATGAGCTTCTCAGCTCTGAGTTAGCTGGGAAGGGAAGACAGATGGCCCCTGAGGAGACAGTCAGTGAATGATGCCAAGCCACAGGTGTGTGATAAGGCACAGACGGCAAGAACCGCAGGAGGTCTGCGTTTTGGGATGGTCAGGGAGATTGTATCGGAGTTGGCCTGTAAAAGCTGAGTAGAATTCAGACAGAAAAATAGCAACGGGTAGATCAGTGTGAGCAAAGGCTCTGCCTATCACGGTGAGAACATAGGGTGTCTATAAGGCAGCAGCAGGAGATCAGGCTGGAAAGGTTGGGAACCGATCACAGGCAGCCTTAAATGCTAGACTGAGATGTTTGTACTTGAAAGCACATGTTGGAAATGGCCTGAGAGATCATGTGTGAAATCCAGAATGAAACCTAGAGTTGATCTATAATCTTCTTATTCCACAGATGAGGAGACTAAGGCCAAGAGATAGCAAATGACACGGTTTTCCTTCTCTGATCTGACTCAGACGATGCTCCTCAAGAGTGGAAGGGGCAGAGGGTAGGAAGGATGTTTCCAGTATCTCCCACATCACACTCTGTCAGTGGCCCCTATGTCTCAGAGTGATACATCCCTTTGTATATGATCCTCAAGAAAGAAAGTTAGTGAGTGGGGCCGCTAGGTGGCGAAGTGGATAGAGGACCAGCCCTGGCGTCAGGAGGACATGAGTTCAGATCCAGCCTCAGACACTTGACACTTACTAGTTGTGTGACCCTGGGCAAGTCACTTAACCCCATTGCCTAAGCAAAAAAAAAAAAAAAAAAAAGAATGAAAGTGAGTGTGATGAGGGGTGAGAAATCCTGGGTTGGAAATGAAGGGATATGTGATCTACTTCTTGCTCTGTCACTGAATTGCTGTATGGTCTCTGGCAAATCACTGAGCCTCTCAGAGCCTCCTTGTCCTCATCTGAAATGGACATAATGGTACCTTCCATCAGGGGGCTGTTTTGAAGCTAAGATAACAGGCGTTGGTACTTTGTTAACTAGGAACTATATGGATACAGGAGTGGAGGCATAGTTGGACAACAATTTCTGTGAAAGAGATTTGGGCTTTTAATGAACTATGATTCAACAAATATTTACCACAAATCCAAGATGAGTAAACAGTATTGTATGGAAGCCAAAAAAAACAAAAAAGACCACTAATATGCTCCTTTTGCTGCACTTGGGCCCTACATTGGGTTTGAGGTATATTTTGGGTATAGGTCAGTCTTATTTGACAAACCCTGCACTGATATCTGTCTTTTATAAGCTAACCAGAGGACAAAGAAAAAGACATTTAATTAAATAAGCATTAGAAGATAATTAACAAAAAAGTTTTTCCTATTAACATAGATCAGGCCTGTACAACATATAGCCGTTGGGCCCCTTGTGGCCTACCAGAACAGCCCCTGGCCATATGTTGTACAGGCCTGCTTTTATGTAAATCCCTCAGCAAAACTGACCATTCTAAGTTCCCTTAGGGCAGGTCTGCACAACATACATCCCAGCTGCTTTGGTGGGCCGCAAGGGGCCCATGGGTGATATGCTGTGTAGGCCTGACATAGATGTACACTCTCCTACAGGTTACCACACTACCAGCCAGGGAATGAACACATGTAGTGACTAGAAAGCATTTTACCAGGGAATATGCATAGCTAGAAATATATGTAGCCTGTGCTCACGTCTCTGGGCCAACTCACACTAGTGAAATTTAGCTTGAATGAGAGAAAACTTAGGGTAACTTGATAACTGTCTTTGTCACATTGAAGATGGGGATTAAACTTGCTTTGTTTGGGACCCGCCCATAGAACAGAACTAGGAGTGATGGATAGAAGGTACAGAGAGTCAGATTTATTCTCGATATAAGGGAAAACAGAGCTGCCTAGAAGTGGAATGACCTCCTTCAATAGGTAGGGATTGTTTCTCATCACTGAGGGTCTTCAACTAAAAGCCAAATGAACCCTTGTCAGCATATTGTCATAGAGATTCTTATGTAGCTACAATTTGGACTACATGACCTTTGAGGTCCCTTGCAGCTCAGAGATTGTGATTTTATAATAATGAAAAATTTAAAAGGGGGTTTGGGGATCAGGATGGTGACACAAAAGCTCCTGCCTGGTTTGGGGAGCATCCTTTCCTCCTTGGAGGAGGCATCTCTGAACACATTTGGACAAATGTGAGGCCTTTGCCTTGGAGGCTTGTAACTTAACCAAGTAGTCTGGGGTTAAGGTCTGCCCATTATATCTGCATATAAGGCAGACAGAAAGAGAGGAAGGGAAAAGGTATGAGGGCAATAGCCTGAAATTCCTTCTCAGCCTGTCATCTCGAAGTTCAACTCTCTTTAATGGAGGAGAGACGGTTGTTGGGGGAAGAGTTGCCTCTAGGCTTCCTCCAGTGGTCAGAGTGGGTACAGAGCTTGGGACATTTTTTCATTCAACAAATACTATAGGGTTCTATAGGTTTATGGAGTGTTCAGGGAGGAATAGTACCTTTGGTGTGAGGGCTGCCGCACCCTTTTCAGGGTTGCTCATTCAGCTCTCAGCTGTGACCAAGAAGCTACAGCAGGCACAGCAGCCACATTCGGTAAACTTTCTTGGGCAGATGGGCTAATGCTTATTTAATTAAATGTCTTTTTCTTTGTCCTCTGGTTAGCTTATAAAAGAAACATATCAGTGAAGGGTTTGTCAAATAACACTGACCTATACCCAAAACATACCTCAAACAGGTGTCGAGGGTAACAGACAGGCCTCAAACCCCAAGAGTTAGGGAGATATCGACCCCAAGCATGTGAAGACTTGCCCTGGAGGAATGAGTGGATGAGAACAATGACGGCCATGAAGGCATGTGTCAGGCATAAAAAGCACCAAGGTCATCCACTGAATCCTGGGCCATTGTCAGTCATCTGAGCTCTTGTCCTTCCACTGGACTTTGATGACTCTGGAAGAGAGAGGGAGCAAATGAGCAATTTAAGACTCCTGAAGTCATCAGTCCTCTTTGAAAATGAAGGATGAACAACTACCATTATAGGGTTCTGTAACTTTCTGTTATCACACAAGGTGATACCTGGGGTTTCTCTACAGGGATGGGGTTCTACCCATGGCTGACCTCCCTTCCTACCTCCAGACACACCTTACTGGCTAGGAAATCATTTTTTCCTACTGAAAGAAAAAGGAACCGCAGATGGCGATTTAAACTAATAGTGGAGGGGTGTGTGTCTGCTTAGCCTTATGGAGCTAAAGGTATAAGGCTATCACTTGAGTTAACTCAGAAGCCAGGTGAATGTGTTCTCATCCTTCCATTATTCATTTGGGGAGATACTAGACCTAGAGAGCAAATGACACCTGACAGCAAGGATTTCCCAACTCAGAGTTTTGGGGAAACCAAAGGAAAAGGGGTTGGGTTGGGCAGGGCCACACTATCAGAACTTCGGCCCCAGTGCTCTCTCACCAGGCTGGTAGTGCCAGACAAGAAGCCCAACTTGGAAGAAAAAATAAGCAAATGCATGTGAATCAGAATGAAAATACCACCTTGAAGTTCCCTACCCCACCTTCACTTTTGGACCCAGAGACAAGTCACAGTGCATGCCCACTTCCTGTTAGAGCTCTCTCCCTGGTCCTGTTCTCCTGGGCAATGTTATGGTAGCAAAGTAGATAAAGCCCCAAACCTGGAATTGGGAGGACTTCAGTTCAAATCCCTGGCCTCAGACACATAATAACTGTGTGATCCTGGGCGAGTCATTTAACCCTATTTGCCTCATCTGTAAAATAAGCTGGAGAAGGAAATGGCAAACCACTCCAGTGTCTTTGCCAAGAAAACCCCAAATAGGGTCATGGAGAGTTAGACATGACTAAAACAACTCAACAATAAAGGCCAGGTTGCAGCCAGACAGTGGCTCAGTTTCGAAAAACTGGAGGCCAAAATGCTACAAAGGAGAGAATAGGAACGTGTGAGAGGAGCCAGGGCAGACAAGGAGGGGTCAGTGGGAAGGAAGTTAGGGTCCTAGAACCTACAGAAGCCACACTTATTCAAGTCTAGACCTAAAATCAGCCAGAAGACTCTACCAAGTGTTTCTAATGGGCAGGGCCCCTCTCCACTTTGAAAACAAAACAAAGCCAACCATTCCCTAGCCCAAGGGCCTCAGGCAATGAGACCTCTTCACTTAGCCTTCTTCTCCAGGGCAGAGATTCCCAGAGGCCCCAGCCATCAGGGACTTGGATCAGATTGGAGCTGGAAAGAGTAGACAGTAGACTACACAATTCTTCTCCTAGGCAGTTCTGCTACGGCATTTGCCAGTTTGGCTAGGGTGGAACAAGTATGCATTACTGTCTCTTCTCTGACCAGTCTCTTTACTGTAGCTCTATCTGGTTTCCAAGCAGTTTGAGTTTAACCTGGAATGAGCCAATCAGGATGGGGAAAAGATAGTGATAGCTTAGCCCGAACCCAGGGCAGCTAGTAGCCTGGCCTGGAGTCAGGAAGACTTATATTCAAATCCAGCCTCAAGTAGCACTTAACCATATTTGCTCGAATTCCTCATCTGTAAAATGAGCTGGAGAAGGAAATGACAAACCACTCCAGTATCTTTGCCACAAAAAACCCACATGAGGTCACAAAGAGGCCAACAAGATTGAAATGACTGAACAACAAAAACCCTAACCCAAGGTGGATGTATGAGGCTGAGGCACTCTATTTCCATATTGATGTTTTTATTGAATCAGTGATGATGCAGCTGGATGGGGCAGAGGAGACCCCAGACTGAATGCTGGGGCCAGGCCCACTCCAGATACCCGGATCCCCACCCCAATCCTCAGTCCCACCCTCTCCCTGACTCCTAGTGGGTCTGGGAGCTCCCCAACTAAGCTAATTCCCACTCTATCTAACCACCTAGCGAGCTATCCCCCTACATCTAGCAATTCGCCATCTCCAGGATTCCAGCAGATGGCACTGGTGCGTAGGCAGTCAGCTCTCTGCCTATTCTTCTCCTCTGATTCTCCCAAAGACTTTCAGAGGGCACAGGGAAGGCCTGCTCTTGGCTGTTGGCTCCTACCCCTTATTTGAAAACTTTTTCAGGGATATTTTCCCAGAAAAAGACAGAATACTCAATTCGTCTTTCCTAGCTCCCTCTCCTAAAGCGTAGAGTTTTTTTTTTTTTTACCCCAGCTTCCAAGAGAGGTTTTGTGTTCAATTTCCTTTTCTGAAACCAAATATCTGACCCTAACCCTTCTCCCTTCCCCCTCCCCCCAAAAAAACTCTACCCATGTCTCTAGGCTGCTTATCCCCACCCCCTCCCAATGTGACCCTCTTCCTGCTTCCTGGGGTTCCATGGTCAGCGCCGCCCAGCTGCATGCGTCCGTTGGTGGCGAATGAGGTCGGAGCTCTGTGAGAAGGCCTTGCCACAGTCGTCACACTTGTAGGGCCGTTCACCACTATGGACACGATGGTGCTGCAGGAGAGTGGAGGAACGGCAAAAACCCTTTCCACAGATAGCACACTTATAGGGCCGTTCACCCGTATGGGACCGCTGGTGCTGAATCAGGGTGGAAGAGCGATTAAAGGTTTTCCCACAGTCAGGGCAGCTGTAGGTTCGGCCAGGTAGGTGGGTGCGGGCATGGATGGCAAGCACAGAGCTCTGGCCAAAGCGTTTCCCGCACTCAGGGCACTTGAAGGGCTTTTCTCGGGTGTGGCTTCGGGCATGAGGGGTGAGGGCTGAGCGCTGGGAGAAGGACTTGCCACATATGCCACAGCTGTAGGGCCTCTGGCCTGTGTGGACACGCTGGTGGCTGCGAAGGGATGAGTTCTGGCTGTAGCACTTGCCACAATCTGGGCAACTGTAGGGTCGCTCATGGCTATGGGTGCGCTGGTGGCGCAGGAGGTAGGAGCTGTCGCCAAAGGCCTTGCCACAGTATGGGCACTTATAGGGCTTCTGGCCTGTGTGGGTCCGCTGGTGGCGGAGCAGGTAGGAGCTGTCAGCAAAGGCCTTGCCACAACGGGGGCACTTATATGGCCGTTCACCTGTATGTGTACGCTGATGCTTGATGAGATCAGAGCTTTGTGAGAAGGCTTTGCCACATACTTCACACTTGTAAGGTTTCTCTCCTGTGTGGATGCGCTGGTGTTGAATCAGTGTGGAGCCCCGCCCAAAGCTCTTCCCACAGATACCACAAATATTGGGACGTGGGGGCTGCCTACCTTGACCTCGAGGGCCCCCACCACGCCGAGACTGGCTGTGGATGGTCTCGGTGAGGTTGAGAGGGTTCTCCTGAAGTATCTCAAACCGGGGGTCAGTGAGCAGGGTCCCTGAGGGCATCTCAAATGTGGTCCCCAGTGGCAGGTCCCTAGGGGGTTGATCCTCATACCCTTCAGTGTAGGAGTCCAGGGGATCATCCTCCAGGGAGAGTTCAAGAGGATCCTTTTCCTCAGGGCTCAGGGGCATCTCAGCAATTTCATCAAAACCTGGACTCTGAGGTTCAACTCCAAAGGGTATCTCTTCAACGTCTTCATTCTCAGAGTCTTCTTGATGAGGAATCTCTTCCTCATTCTCACTCACACTCTTCCGTCTGCCACACTCGCTGCCTGTGGAAAGAAAAGTGGAGTCTGAACCTCATCTCCCCAACACTCTCTACTCTATCTCAGCCCTCGTTTCTCTCCCACCCTTGCAACAGCAGGCGTCCTCCCCCATTCCAGGTATTCCCTCCCGATCAGCAGAGCTCCAAGCTGGAGGGCCCCGCGCCTCTCACCTGTGGGGGTGCCTCTCTGGCTCTGCATCTCTTCGGGACTCTGGGGATCTAGGCCCCACGGCCTGGCCTCTTGCTCCATCTTAGAAATCAGGAGCCGAGGGAAGCCTCTGGAGAAGAACAAGAGTAATTTTCCCTCTCCAGCCCTCCAAGTTTGAGCTCCCCCTCGGCGTGAGCCCCGGGTGCCCCCACGGTCCGGGAAGAGTCACCTGAGCGGCGGGCTCCCCGCAGCCCCGGGTAGGCGCGGGAGCGGGTGCGTGTGCGCGCGCCTCTGGGGCCCCGCTCCCCTTCCCAGAATCCAGATGTCTTGACCCCAGGCCTCCAGCTCTCCCTCCCCGGAGCCCCGCCCCCCTCCCCTCCCCCTCCTCCCCCCAGCTCACTCTTTCCCACTTTCCTCCCAAGGCCCCCGTCCCCTTTCAGAATCTAGGCCGCCTGAACCCGAGAATCGACGGCCCTCCGGCCCCTAGACACCCTTCCTGGGACCCAGGTGTTGGTGGCCCGGCTCCCCAGCCCCTTGCTGGGCTGCGGCTGCCCAGCCCCCTCCCCCCGCCCCTTGCACAGGAAGTGTCCGTGATCGGCCAGCTCCCCGCTAGGCTGGCGCCGCTGCCGCTCTAGGATGCCGCGGAGGTGCGACTCGGTGGCATTAACCCTGTGCAGGGCCGACCAAGCCCCGGGCCCCGGGGTGCGAGCCTGAGCAGGTGCTGAAGGAACAGCAGCAGCTCCTGCGTGGGGCAGGGATAGTGGCCTGGACGCTCCGTCCCAGAGCCTAGGCCGGCTGTCTGCCCGTCTGTCTGCTGGTCTCTCGGTCCGTGCAAGCGTGCCCCGGAGCTCCGGAGCAGCAGCCCCCAGACTCTAGGCACGGCGAGGCGGGGGGCGGCTTGCCCTACGGGCTCGTGCTCTGGCTCTGGCTCAGCGATCAAACTCCGCCGCCGCCCCTTCCCTCTGACCCGGAGACGGCGAGATCTCCGCGACGCGCCTCCTCCGGCCTTCCAGCGGAGCTCGGGAGTGGCGTGGCGGTCAGCGGAGTCCCCCGCTTGCCGTGGGGAGAGCCCCTTCATGCCTCCCCCGCTAGTGAACACAGCTCAGACCCAGGCCCCCCAGACTCACCCGGGGCCCCCCCACCCCTCCTTTCGCTCATCCCCTCTCACAGCCCTCATTCCACCCCTCCAACAGCCTGCCCCTCCCTCCAGTCTAGGATCGTTGCCAAGGAGACGGCTCCGCCGCAGGGGCGGAGCGAGCTGGATGGCCTGGAGGCACCGCCTTCCTTCATGAGAAGGGGGCCAGCCATTGGTCTCATGGCTCTGATGCCCCGCCCATTTTCTTCTCTCCCCGCCCCTTTCCCTCTTGCTCGTGGGGGCGTTAACCGTCGCTCCCAGGCGCGAGGATCCTCCAGCGGAGCCTGATTGGCCCGAAGGCTCTCGCGGGGCGGGGTTTTCCAGCTCCCGCGAAGGGCTTTGGGGGGAGCCCCAGACCTCCTGCGGTCCTTCGGGTTCCTTAAGTGGTCCCTACCCTTTCCGCCTCGGTTTTTCTCCCTATCTGACAAATTAAGGGACTACCCCTTTCCTCTGCGTTCCCCAAGTCCCGCCCCACACCTCCCCGTTCCCCACTCCCACTCACCCACACCTTGAGACCCTTCTCAGGATGCCCACGGGTTCCAGACGCTAAGGGGTTAACGTGTCCCACCTTCTATAGCCAGGAGATCCTAGAGAGGACCTAGACGGGGGGGGGGGGCACCGAACTCTTCCTTCCGCTTCCTGTCTCGTCCATCGACCCTCCCGCTTCCCCCTCCCTCCCCCTCCCCCAGCTTGGTCTAAATCTCTGGATTCCTAGGTGCTCAGTTTCCTTTCCCCTTCCTCTTTCCCCTCTCTGACATTCTTTGCCAAAGGGGTAAAGGATCCGGGGGGAAATGGGTCGCTGAGAGGTGAGTGTATCGGGGGAGGGGGGAACAGGGCGCCTGGGTTTGTTGTTGTTTGGTAGTTAGTCGTGTCCCACAGTTCAGGGGTTTTCATGGAAAAGATAGTTGGAGTGATTTGCCATTTCCTTATCTAGTGTGACCCCATTTTACAGACGAGGAATTGAGACAAATAGGGGTTAAGTGACTTGCCCACACAGTGTCCGAGACCGGGTTTGAACTTAGATCTTCCTGACTCCAGGCCCAGTGCTCTATCCACTGCCTCACCTGGCTGCCCCACACCTAAGTTTAGGGAAAGGTGGAGAAGGAGGAAAATATGGCCTTTTCTTTTCCTGTAGCGAAGAACGTCCCAGATCTCGTATCCAGACAAATTAATTAGGTCGGGGAATGGGAGTGGAGGTAGCTGGGGTCCTGTCAAAATCACAACCAGAGAGAACTGGGCAAAAGTCCAAGTTAACAAGTGTTATTAGGCACCTACTGTGTTTAAGGCACTGGGAGTACAGAGACTAAACAATAAACAGGACTTGCCCTCCAGGAACTTACATTCTAGGGGAGTAATAGGGTAGATGCAGTGTGTCAACAGATCAGTATGCTTGATAATTCCAGGAGGTGGAAGAGAATACTGAAAGGGAGGATAAGAGGATAAGAAAGTCTTCATGGAGGAGGTGACTGGGAGGATTCTAAGAGGCCCAGGGGACAGTGTGGACGAAGGCAAGGAGGCAGGAGATGGAGAAAGTAGAATGTAGGTCGGTTCACTTGGAAGTAGAGTCCATGAAGGAGTATAATGCCTAATAAGTGTACATAGGTGCATTGGAGGCAGATTGTAAAGAGCTTTAAATAGCAAGCTAGGGAATGTATATATTATATGCTAAAGGCAGTAGGGAGCCACTGAAGGTTCCTGAGTAGAGGAAAATACAACATGGTGGATGAAAGAAAACTTGATTTGGAGTCAGAGGACCAGAGTTCAAATCACCAGTTTGCCACTTACTACCCATGAGACATTGGGCAAATTATTTCTCCTTACTGGGTAAATTTCATTATCTGTAAAATAAGTGAGGGGTGAGGGGGGAGAGAAGAACTAGATTGATCTCCTAGGTCCTTTCCAGCTCTAAATCTATGATCCTATGACATGGTTAGATTTGTGCTTTAGGAAGATTCCATAGGGAAAAAAGATTGGAAAGGGGAGAGACTGGAAGCAGGAAGTCCATTTAACAGGCAGTTGCAATGATGTAAGTGAGAAGTGATGAGGGTAAAGCATCTGATAATAACCTTCATGTTTCAGTAATGTTTAAAGATTTAGAAAGTATTTTGCCACAACCCTGCAAGGTAGGTTGTGCGTGTTATTCCTGTTTTTTAGATGAGGAAACAACATGTCCATGAACATTGTCCACAAACACTTGGAAAACCAAGTGTCAGAATCAGGATTCACACCTGGGTCTCCTGACTCCAAATCTAGTTTTCTTTATACTCTTGTACCACTGCTGTCAGGGAAATTGAGAGGTGAAATGTAGGTCTCTAGAACTGAAGGGAGACCCTTTAGCACTTGCCCACCATGCCCTGTTGAGAATGGATTGTTTGTGTGGTAGGAACCATTCAGGGTAGGCTTACCCTTGCTGTACTAAATAGAGACTCTTGAATCATTCTTCTTGCTGCTTTTTTAGCCTGGATGCCTAGGAAAAGAAGCTCAAAAAGAAAGGGAAAAGCTAGAAGATTGTTTCTGAAGTGGCTTGCATCTGGATTCTCCCTTTCTTACCATTGGGACTGAGAGTAAGAATGAGAACCCCAAATGGGAAAGGCCAGGGCATAGGGACATTTTCAAAGAAAATCCCAGGTCAGGGGACATAGTGTCCCAAAAGTCATACTTCCATTTTAAGCTATTAAAATTTACAACAATGTTTCATCAAAGTGTTTCCAGCTTTCCAATATGTTTAACTCTCAAATAGAAGATGAACTTGGCAAGGACACAGAGATTAAAGATGATTTAGTTGAAACTTTAATAGCTTTAAACTGCACTAAGACTTTTGGGATACCCTGTCTATATTGTTTCAGAAATTAAACAGGGACACCTTTTCTGTCTTTAGACATCCAAGAGGCTGTAGGGTTTTTGGAAAGGATTTTGTCCAAAGTTCTTACTTGGTCATTCAGCAAGCATCAGAGAACCCACACAGATGAGAAACCCTATAAAAACTCTGACTTTGGGAATAACTTCCTACAGAACTCATACCCAATCGCCTACCAGTATATCCAAATGGTTTAGAAATCCTAGTAGTGGTCAGATTACCCTAAGGGCTTTTCGCAGAATGTTAATATCATACATAAGATAACCCACATTGGGGAATAATCATAGTCCTGCCTGTTCTGTAACAAGACCTTTAGCCATACGCCTGATCAGAAAGAAGCCCTACATGAGTCCTGAGTGACAAAGGCTTCTAAGTTGCTTCAGCACCAGTTTCCCCATATGAGGGAGCTAGATCATATGAAGTTTCTAACCAATCTTGTCAATAACAGTGTCACTGCAGTCAGAGGCAGAAAAGCCTACAGATGTCTCAACTATAGGAAATACTTTGGGGGTAAGCTCATCCTCCTCCAGCACAGGTGTGTTCACAGTGGCACAAAGTCTTAGCAAAGCAGCAAGTCTGGGAGGACCTCACCTCCAGGCCTAGTCACTGGTCTACAGGGAAGATGTAGCATTGGGGTGTGTGGCTGGGTTTTGGGTCAGCTTGGCCCTTGTTCTGCATAAATGTGTCTATACTAGGTAGAAACCCCACTGAATATAAGAAAGGATTCTGTATGAACCCTGCTCTCTTTTTGCACTAGAAAACATACCTGGAGAAGAGACAGCAAGAGGCTCTACTCAGAGAAAACCGTCAAGTGTAGATGGGTCCAACCATTGGAGCATTATGTATCATTTGGAGCTCTAGGGGAATGGAGAGCTTTGTGGGAAAATAAAGGAAGTAAGGGTCTCTAGATGTATCCCCTTGCCTGGTATGATGGGAACTGGCATGTGGCCCTCTAGGTCCTCAAGTGATTTGTTCTGTGAAGTTTGGATTCAGTCAAAGGACCACACTTGAGGACTTAAGAGGGCCACATGTGACCTTGAGGCCACAGGTTCCCCACCCCTGCATTAGAAGATAGACCATGTATGGCTTTTTAAAGGGGATCTGGGAATTCATGCATGAACAGTGACTGCCAGGTGCCAGTTGGCTGGATGCAGAAATTCATGCTGGTGAGATCTCTGTTGGATTTGGTGGATAAGACATTTATCATTCCACAGTTCAGTGCAATGGCCCCCAGGGAAAATCTCTCACAAACTTACATGCTTCAAAAGCCAGTATCATGTCAGTGTAAAGGAGATGCTGTCTATTCCTTGGGTAGAAGTATCTAATGCTGGAGTTTGGATTCAATCCTAATCATTATGTTAAAGGGGGAGCAGGTGAGAAAGACCTAGAGTACTACACTAACAGGTGTTCACCCATGAGCTATGGATTCAACATTAGGAGGTAGCATCATAGGATAAAGAGTGTGACATGACTGGGCTTCTGGCTACTGGTAAATGTTTGTGTTCAGGGAGAAAAATGGTTCATCAGCCAATTAAGCAGCCAGTCTGAATGTGGGCCCTATGTTCTATCTACCATGAGTCTGGACTGGTTTAAGTTTGGGCTGCATTCTAGGTTGGTTCTCAGAATCTGGTGTTGAGGGCCTTAAGCTCTTGGGACAGCATCGAGTATGGTAGAGAACTGGTTCTAGAGGCTGGAGGAAGGACAAGCTACGCCTCTTCCTTCCTTACCCAGGTCCCTCTACTGCCTAAACTCCCAATTTTCTGTTCAGGTGAACTTTAAAATTCTCAGGTGTTAGCCCAAAACTCAGTCTCCTCTATCTCCCTTTCCAAATTAAGTATTCAGTTGGGTATGATACTAAAGGGGTTAGGAGGGTTTTTTGTTTCCATCTCTACCTTAAAAGGTTATCCTTTCTAACATTCTCCCATTCCTGCTGCAGTAAGGAGGAAAAATATATAAAACACAAGTCTGATTGAAGGGGGTGGGTGGGGGAGGGAATAAACTCAGATCCCCAGCGATACTATCAAGACACAGAGGCAGTTCTTAGGAAAACTCCTTTACTGTCCTACACTGTACAAAGGAGGGAGGTCCTGGCCCTGACACAGCCAGGAGCTATATATGTACACCTTCCTGCAGTCAAAGGGAAGGGAAGCTCCCTGCTAGGAACCAACTGAGGAAAGAGAAAAGACAAGGTCAGGCTCAAAACTGAGAATTCAGGGATACTAGGTAGCCATCCAAAGCTGGAGCCTTTGGCACAGGGGCAGTAGTCAGAGATGTGACTTTGAAGGATGGTAAACTCCAGGACAGGCCATTAAGTGGCTCAGTGGATAGAGCACTGGGCCTGTAGTCAAGAAGACCCGAGTTAAAATCTGGCCTCAGACACTTAATAGTTGTGTGACCCTGGACAAGTCACTTAACCTCTGTTTGCCTTAATCCACAGGAAAAGGAAATAGTAAAGCACTCTAGTATCCTTGCCAAGAAAACCCCATGAACAATATTGGTGTGCCATGGTCCACAAGGTCACAAAGAGTCAGACACTACTTGAACAACAAACTCCAAAAGGGAGGGGGAGGATAACCATCCTCATTCATTAGGCCCTCAGGGAGTTGGTGCAGCAACTCTGTCCATTGTGCAACTTTTTGGCTTTCTCAAACCATCAGAGGAGGCAAGAGCAGTAGGTTTTATGTCTGTCCCTAGGCTGTACTTTCAGACTCTAATCCTGAGCCATCTTTGGACCTTTGGTTTCTCCCATCGTCCTTAGCCAGTCACCCACACTCCTGGAAGATCTCTGGGTAGTGCTGGAAGCCCACTGGGGGATCTAAGTCTCCCCGGATAGAGACAAGTTGCACAGGTAATACCTCAGACAACTGGCCCCTCCTGCCCTCAGCACCAGGCCGATGGATCCACTGATGTTTGGCTACAGCTGACTTCTGGCTGAATCGCCTCCCACACTCAGGGCAGGAATAGGGCCGCTCACCACTGTGAATTCGTCTGTGAGCAACCATTTCTGAACTCTGCCGGAAGCAGCGTCCACAGTCTGGACAAGGGAATGGCTTTTCACCTGTGTGGGTACGCTGGTGGCGCCTTAGGTCTGAGGCATGGGCAAAGGCTCGGCCACAGTCAGCACAGGGGAAAGGTGTCTCACCACTGTGGACACGATGATGCTGTGACAGGGCTGAACTCTGGCTAAAGCATCGGCCACAGTCAGCACACTGGTAAGGCTTCTCACCAGTGTGGACACGGAGGTGAGTCGTAAGGGCTGAGCGCTGAGTAAAGGCCCGGCCACAGTCGGGGCAACGATGAGGCCGTTCTCCCCGGTGGATGGCTCGGTGCTTGCTTAGTGAAGAAGCCTGGCTGAAGCCTTTGCCACAGTCGGAACAATGAAAGGGCTTCTCACCAGTATGGGTGTAAATGTGCTCCACCAGTGTGGAGCGCCAGGCAAAGTGCTTCCCACATATGTTGCAGCCATGGCGTTTGTCAGTCCTAGGAGCTGGAAGGTTGACACGCAGGCTGGGGTTTGTGGGAGGGCGGCCCCGACAGGAAGCAGAAAGAGGGGCTGGCTGATCCTTGTGTTCTCCAGTCCTAGTTGTGGGCTGTCCAACATCTTCCAGTCTCTTGATCACAGGTTGTTCCTCAGCTCCAAGCATCTTCCTGTTCTCCTTATTATTGTTCTTAGCTCCTGCTGGATAAAGAATAATTCAGACTCATGAGTTAACTATAACTTATTGTGCTTATTTTTATGTTAAAAATTTAGTATTTTATATTTCCCCAGTTACATGTAAAAACAATTTTTAACATTAATTTTTAAAACTCTGATTTCCAAATTCTCTCCCTTTCTCCCTCTCTCTCTACCCACTCCCAATGAGAAGGCAAGCAATTCCATAAAGTTTATACATGTGTAGTCATGCAAAACATTTCCATAATAGTCATGTTGTGAAAGAAAACATAAGCAAAAAAAACCCTCAAGAAAAATAAAGTGAAAAAGGATGCTTCAATCTGTATTCAGACACCATCAATTCTTCCTCTGGGGATGGATGGCATTTTTCATCATGTCCTTCAGAGTTGTCTTGGATCAGTGTATTGCTGAGAATAGCTAAAATAGCTAAGTCATGCACAGCTGATGATCTTAAAATATTGCTGTTACTTTGTACACAGTACATTTCACTTTGTATCAGCATATGTAAGTCTGTCTGGGTTTTTCTGAGAGCATCCTGCTGATCATTTCTTATACCACAATAGTATTCCTTAATAATCACATACCTCATTTTGTTCAGCCATTCTCCAATTGATGGGTATCCCCTCAATTTTCTATTCTTTGCCCCCAGAAAAGATTTTGCTTATTCTTAAAAATTCTTAGTAGTGCTATTTTTTGCTTTTATGTAACCTCTATCTTCCCCTTGATCTCACCCCCACCCCCCAATCATCCCTTATAACAAACTTTTATTTTTGAATCCCATTGCCCACTGTGTGACAGTTTTCCCCTTTGGGGGAAACACTCTCTATCCACTAGCCATGGCACAGAACTAGTTTCCAAGTCAAAGCTGATAATTTGCCCACTGTCACCCAAATAAACATAACATTCAGAACTTAAGTCTCGGGATTCCAAGAGCCGCACTCTGCAGCGATCCCTCACCTCCACAGGTTACTGCCTTCTCCCATTCACCCTCGGGAGAGCTGATATCCGAGTCCCACGCTTCTTGTTCCATCCAGGAGATGAGCGCTGGTTTGGGACCTGGAAATCCTGAGGGGAGGGGGTGGGGGGAATGGACACAGAAGATTATGGTGGAGGGTCCCAGAATTTAGAAGCTCTGATCCCCCGCCCCCGCCCCGGCCCGCCCCGGCCGCGCCCCTCACCCAGCGCGCCCAGGTGGCCATAAGTCTCCCGCATGACGTCCCTGTACAGGGCCCTCTGCGCGGGGCGCAGCCGTCCCCACTCCTCCGGGGAGAAGTACACGGCCACATCGGCGAAGCTCACGGGGCCCCTGGCCCCCGGCCCGGGCCCGGCCTCGGCCTCGCTCATCCTCCGCGGCGCAGACTGGATGGGGTAGCCCCCTTGTGGCTTCAGCACCCTTGGGCAGCCCTGACTCTGCCCACGCAGGAAGGGGAGGAACCTAAAGGACCGGAAGTGTTTGCTAGACCACTGCCGTGACCGCAGCCGCGGGAAGCCGGTGGTATTTCCCCTGTTCCCGCTGGGCGGGAGGTGGCTGTTGGGGGGGGGGAAGGGAGAAATGTGAGCGAAGAGTGCCCTCAGAAAAGATGGCGGCGCTCCAGTTTCACCGCTCTTCCGCCCGAGGCAACAGGAGCCCCCCCGCGGCTTTCAGGTATTGACCTTACCCAAGATGGCGCGACTCTGCTTCGGGCTCTGCTCGCGGAAAGTTCACGGTCATTGAAAGCTGTCCCCCAGCGACGTCCGCAGGAACTCGCCAACCTGAGGCGCGCAGGCAGATTAGACCGTGTCGAGACTTCGAAAGACCAACAGTGAGAGAAGAATGTGTGTTACTTTTCCTGCGTTATCCGCAGCAGATCCTCTGCTTCAGTCCTCCCATTTTACAGATGCTGGAAACTCAGGGCCAGAAAGGTTATGACATGTCAGAGAGTCACACGACAAGCACAAGACTCCTGCAGTTTCCATTGTTCCAAGAATGTCTGGTTGCTCTTACTCTGGGTCCAGATTCATTGCAAGTAGGCAGGGGCCAAAAGGGCTCTCAGATATGTGGTCCTTCAAACCTAATTGAAAATATGGGAATATGATATTAGTACTGGGAGGGAGACCAGAGGAGACAGTCAGAAATTCATCAGCTTAGGTTAGGGATGATGTTTGAAGGCAACACAAATTATCTTCTCCTCCGAGGCTTCTTTCATGAGGGCATTCCCTCGCCTACATGAGCGGCAGGCTTCTTGGGACAGAACCAGACTAATTTGTCTGGAATATAGGGTACATTGGAGAGAGAAAATAACCTGAGGCTGGAAAATTAGGTTACAGATGGTGAAGAGTCAGTACCAGGCAGGGCTGAGTTGGAACTTTGTTTAAGAAGGGTATTGGTCTGAACAAAGTGATATTAGGATGATTAATCTATTGCTTGTATGCAAAATGAGTTGGAGTAAGAGAAATAATTGTGTTATGAATTAATTTCAGTAGTATGGTGACTGATTAAAAAAAAAACAACTAAATCTAGCGTGGTGACCGTGAAAACTGAAGAGAAAGGACAGATTTGAGAGACTGCCAAATAAGAATCCATAGAATCTGACAACTAAGGTTGTAGCTGTGTGAGTGAAGAGAGTGGAATGATGTGAGAGATTATTTAGAGACAGAATCAATCCAGTATGGCAGTGGACTCGTTCTGGGGTGTGAGAGGGAAGAATTTAGAATGATTCCATAGTTATGAACCAGTGTAACTGGAAGCATGCTGATGCTCTTAACAGAAAGACAGAAATTAGGAAGATGGGAGGGCTTGAAAAGGGATGATAATGAATTCTTTTTAAATATATATTAACTTTGGTATACATATGAAATTAGAGCTGTAAATGTCCCAGTAGGCAGTTAGTGATGTGAGACCATAGAGTTCAAGAAAAAGACAAGGAAATATAGATCTGAGATTGTGTGTGTGTGTGTGTGTGTGTGTGTGTGTGTGTGTGTGTGTGTGTGAGATCTGTATAGTAAGAGAACCGATAGATAAGTGTCATGAAAACTCAGGAAGACAGAGTATTGTAGAAAGGAGTGGTCATTAATGTCAAATGCTGTAGAGAAGTCAAGAAGGATGAGAATTGAGAGAGGGTCGTTGAATCTGGCATTTAAGGGATAATGGGTAACCTCAGAGAAAACATCTGAGTAATGATGTAAGAAACCAGACTGCAAGAGATTGAGACTTGAACAAGAAAGTTGAGGCTACATATAAATAATAGATAGCTTTATCTGAGAATCGGGCTGAGAAAGACAAGGCATCAAGGTACAGTGGAAAGGGGGCTGAATCTGTAGTCAGAGTACCTGGCTTTGAATTTTGCTCTGTTACTTGCTAACCTGTTACTTTATCTCTGGATCATAGCTTCTTTTTCTGTAAACCGAGGTGGTTGGACTAGCTGGCCTCTAAGGGCCAATCCAAGTATAAATCCATGATCGTATGAGATAATAAGGTCAAGGGAAGGCATTTTGATGATGGAAGAGATGAGCATATTGGGAGGCTGTATGGAAGGAGTCAGTAGATGGAGGGGAGTGACAATTGTGGTGGCAGCCTGCTGTGGAAGACTGAAAGAGATGAGACCAAAGGCACAAGAAGAGAGGTTGGCCTTGATGAGAAGAGTCACCCCTTCATCAAGAGACTGGGGTAAAGGAAGAGAAGAGGGATTTTTAGGGATTTCAAGATAGGGAAGTCTTAGAGATAGAAAAGAATGTAGCATAGGAAGAGATGAGAAGGAGAAAGAGTCGCCTTCATTACTACGCCTCTGGAGTCTATAGACCTGGGTTCTTAGTCCAGCTCTCCCACTTGGCAGGCTGTGACCTTACCTCTCTGTGGAAGTCACCACATTCAGCAACAAATTCAATATTCACTAAGTTGACTTACTATGTGTGAATTGCAGAGTTAAATACTAAGGATGCAAAGGGGAACATGAACCATCCTCAAGAAGCTTACAATTTTGGGGGATGGATTAGACTAGGTGGTCATTAAAGTTTCTGGCCTCTCACTTCCTAAGGCCTGCGATCTACTTTTGCAACCTCACCAGTACTTCCCATCTCTGAATTTTGCACTTTGACCAGATTTGGTTTCCTCACTGTCCCATTGCATCATAGCTTTTATCTCTACTACCTCCTTGATACCACTGTCTCAAAAGTCAACAGCATCCTCCTAATCATTAAATCCAATGTTCTTTTCTTAGTCCTCATTCTTTAACTCTGTGTAACATGTAAAACTCTTAACCATCCCCTTTCTTCCTGAAATGCTCTTTCCCTTTGGTTTCTGTGACTGAATAGAAACCAATCCTCTATCCTTTTCACTGACTTTTCTTCCTTTGCCAGCCCCCAAACTATAAATGTTCCCCAAGATTTTGTTCTTGGTTCTTTCCTTTCTGTAGACACTACCTGTTCCAACTTCAACTGTGACCTCTATGAGCATGACTGTCAAATCTATTATCTTCAGCCTCTAAAACTCCAGTTCTGTATTTGCAATTAATCAGCAAACCCCAGCTAAGATATCTTGTATGGCACCACAGACCCATCATGTTTAAAACTCACCCCCAAACTTTTCTCACTAATTTCCCTATTTCTGTTACAGGCATCACCATTCTCCTAGTCACCAAGACTTAACATCCCTGGTCATCCTTTACTCTTCTCCCTTCCTTATGCCAGCTCTACCTATCCAATCGTTGACGAATCCAGTCACTTCTTCCTTTTCATTGTATTTTCAATCTGTCCCCTTCTCTCTGTTTTGATTGCAACTCCCATAGTGAAGGCCCTAATCACCCCTCACTGGACCACTGCAGTAGCCTCCTGACTGGCTTCTCTGCCATCAATCTTTACTCCTCCATCAAACACCCCATTCCCACATTAGGGTTATATATAGCACTACTCTGATATGGCAGTTCTTTTGCTCAAAAACCTTCACTGATTTCTCATCACTTAAGGAGTAAAATCCAAATTCTCTAGCATGGCATCTAGTACTTTCTAAAATCTGGCCATAATCTACTTTTTCAACTTTGTCCCCCCACTCTTCTTCACACATAAATCTATGCTCTAGCAGCCAAATCCGGACTGCCATCCATTTTTCATATATACTTTGCTCCAGTTTGTCTCCACACATCTGCACATTTCAGTCACTCCCTTTGCATCTTTCTCCTCCGAAATACTACCCATCCTTCGAGGCCTCGGGCAGATATCATTTCTATTTGATCCCTCCTCATCTGAAGGGGCTTCTCTAGACAGCCATACCTCTTTCTATAATTTTCATGAAGAAATCTTTTTTAAAACATTACTACGTTTCTATGTCTCATTTTTTGCTAATAAATGATGAACTCTTTGAAAGCAGGGACTGTGTTTTATTCTTCTTATCCTCTCAGTGACTACCCACAAGGCCTTATACGTGGGAGTTGTTCAATATAACTAAAAGAGGAAAAAAAATTTCAGAATGGATATGAAACCACAGAGGTGGCAACACTGTGCCAACTGCGTTGCCATCTGTCAGGCTCTGTGTGCCAAAGTGGCTGCTCAGATCTAGGACTCCCAGTCTTCCAAATTACTGGTTCCCTGCTTAGCACATGGTAGGTAGTTAAAATACATTCGATTTCTCAGCTTTGCCTGGCCATGTTGGGACTGATTTCTGTTTTTCACAAGAACAATATAAAACCACAAAATTGGAGATATTTCTCTCTGATATCAAGATTTTGATTTGCTATCAAAGCCCCTACTGCCCCTTCTTAGCATTTGCAGCCTACTTCTGTCTACCTTCCCATTGCTTTATACATGCTTTTTCATTCATATGTTTATTCAGTGGCTATTTTCTTGATCTTTGAAACTCCCCCGATGCCTGTACTGTGAGGCACTGTGGGTAGTTAATAAGTGTCTTTTGAATTGAATTGGTATGATATAATAAACATTTATTAAATGCCTACTATGTACTTTTTGTAAGACCACTCTGGGATGCTGAGGCTGGTAAGGTTTCTGTGATTCATCTTCTTGCCAACAAGAAAATTGTCCAGTGTAATGGCTTCAAGACTTGTTTTTTTAAATCACCACTGAATTATATTTTAGTTATTTCATAAACTATTTCCCAGTTACATTAAATTTTTAAATATCCATTTGAAGGGTTAATGTATAAGATCTTCCCTACCCACAGCCCAAGCCAAGGGACAAGGAACTTCCCTAACATATTGTTCTGGGATTTGTTTCAACCCCGACCCACCTTGGGGAACTATTCCTTAAAAACAGGTCTTGAGGTAAACATCCAGGGACTTGGCCAGTTCCTGGGCATTGACCCGAGACATTTTTGACATAACAAAATTGTTCTGGAGGTCGGAGAATTTTGGCCAAAACTCTCAGGTCCTTAGGATTAATCACTTATTCCCTGGCTCCCTGCCTTCTTTGTGTAAGAATGATAAAAAGGGTCTTTTTTGGGAAAGTGACTTTGGGAGTCTCCCTCGGAGAGGACGCTCTGCCGTAGGGACTTTCCCAACCAAGACCCTGACAGCTGTGATACAAGATTCCCCCAGCCAGATGTTCAGGAGT